TCAACAGCTTCTTTTCCTTCTTCCGGCCACAAAAGAAGAACAAGGGGCAAAAGATATATAAACGTTCGCAGACGCTTCATACTGATACACAGAATGAAGAGACTGCGCCCACAAGCAACCCGGAGTTGACTGCACCTCCAGTGAGAAAGGGCCTCGTCCGTGGAGACTCTCTGTACGATGAGGAAGAGGGTTGGTATACTCCTCCAAGAACAACGATCCTCGAGTCTGCCGGTGACGTTCTCAGCCCACCTCTGCCTCCGCTTGAATATCTTATAGACCCGTCATCACGGCCTAGAACCATCTTCCATGACCGGGTGTATCACCCCGATGATATCCCTCCACCTCCACCCACCAGGCCTCGAACTATGTCTCGATCACCAAGTTACAGTATCAGCCGAAGTGCCTCAATGGAGAACACTGGTTCACAGGCTGGGGCTTCTGATGGTAGCAAAACACCAACCGAGGTACCCCAGAAGGGCAGCAGTGGCATGAAAGTAGAAGAGAAGATTGCAAGAGCTTACCACCGTGATCTAACCTGGCGCAAAGTTCTGGTCCGCCTAGAACCAGATGCCCATAACAACATAATCGTCCGCCGCATGTTTGCCAATGCCTATGGCTGGCCGGTTGTCAAGCATTTCGTCGATACTCACTTTGGCTATACCGCCTCTGCCCGTGAATCAGACGATCTAGAATCTCGAGAGGAACGGGCCAAACCGATGAACGTCCCAGCAACTGACCAGGGAGAAGAGGTTATAGGCCAGCATGATTTGCCGCGTTGTCAGGCCTCGCCGAACACTGGACCGAATAACGGACCGTCGAGCCCTAGCGGCAAGAAACCTGTCTCCTCTCTTCAGCGAGATGCTTCACCAAAGGTGCAAGGAAGTCCAACATTTGAGCTGAATAAACCTACACCATCGATTGAGCGCAGGTTGAGTAGTCTAAGTATGAATTCGAAGACCTCTCAGACTGACTCCGCCCAGTGGACGGATACGTACCTCGAAGATGACGGTCGTGATGAGGAATCTGCCGAGGATGACATCGAGCATTACAAGAAACATGAAGGTATTCGAGCTTCAGACTATTTAGAAGCCAACACTCCAAGGCCTGACAGCTCTGAAGCCCAACCACCCGTATCTTGAATGATTCGTCAACTTCGTGTGCCCATGACTTCCCTTAATTTTAATAACATACTGCATTTGAATCCTGATAATTCTATAGCCCTCTCACCGTCATCAATAGGACGCACTTGCATTGGAAAGGAGAATGACATTGATATTTTTATTTGCCTTTTCCTTTTTATATCGTCGTATTTCCTATTGTCTATAGGGGTAGTGTATATATGTATTTACTTTGTCTATACCGTAGGCGTTATATATATTGTAATGTCATTATAATAATATCGTGCGAGATATTGGTTATACGTGACGAAAGCTATGCTACAGACGGTGTATCTTTTTCGTGCTCAGGGAAAGCTCATGATAGGCCGAGTAAGCCGAGCCCGCCCCTTACCTGCACATCTAGCAGATCTGCTCGGTCCATGTTATCGCTAGACTGTTAAAACACCCCAAAGAGCACAGAATAGCCACAGTTCTTAAACCATAACGAAGGCCCTTACACGATTCTGAAGAACCTTGTAATCCTATACGACTGTACAGGGTGGAAACCACATCTAGGAGTGAACAAAGTTATGGCTTGTGAGCATCTGGTCTTTCAAAGTAGGCGCTGCCAAGTATAGTCACAATGGACACTACTCCTGAGAGATGCTAAACCTCATAACCCCTAGCAGACCCGGGGTACGGCTGTTGATGAGGACAAAATCATGACTCGAGACTATCTTCACTTCTCAGGGGCGTCAGGAAGTCGTTCGATGACGTATTTAGCCCGGGCAACACTCATAACCGGCACACCGGGAATTTTTCTATTAATCCATCGTCAGTACTAAATCATTCGCAGCTCTCTAGGTATATCGGGGGATAGCCGAAACCCACCTTATCCGTCTTTTTAGATCACGATCATTGGTTGCGACAATATAAATTCGGTGCTTTATAACTCGGTCCACAATGCAGTCATCAGCGTATGTGCCGGTATGGTCACATTTAAGTCTTTCGAATCGAGGGTCCTTTGCTATCCGCAAAGCAAGCCAGTATTTTGGTCCCAGCTTCTCTAACTCGGCTAATACACAGTCTGTAATGATCGGTATACATTTCGCGAACAGGCAGTCCATCATACTTGGTATAACATCGAGTTTATGTTGGACTGTGTGGGATAGAAAGTTGGTGTCGACTAAGATTGAGTAAGGTGGCGCGAGCGAGGTATTGAACTGGAAGAATAGGGCAGACGGAGCTTGAGGTCTGTCATGGGATAGGTAATGGTTTGTTAGCATTGGTTCCCATATCATAGAGGGGAGGTGGGTGTCAAAAGTAGGGGAGAGTGGTACATTTCCCGGACAACATTGTCGGCCTTCGCTTTCTTTTCTTCCGCTTTAGCCTGATTCTGCTTCCTGTATCCCAAGGTATAATATCAGTATGTCTCTTCCTCCCATGCGCAACAGGATAAATAGGACAAGGTCTTACAGTCGGTTGTCCTTTTGACTGATTATTTTTTTTACCTAGGTAACGATTAGTGACGGTTCTTGAAGGAACTGGATGTTGGAGACGAACATGGCCAAATTTTCTGGTTTTCTTTGCGATTCCCATTTTTACAAATTGCTCAAGCGGATGATAGCAAAAGGAAATACCTTGACAGTGAGCTTTCAATGAAAAACAGAGGTGAGATGCTGGTTAAGCTGGGTGTTTTCTAAGTACTTATGTTGGAAATTGAAAATGTTCGTTTTTACTTTTTTTTTTTTTTTTTTTTTGATAACCTTTTTTACTAGGTTGAGCCTCAATCACGTGATGATTCTATGCTTTTTTCAATGTCCGACAAAATGGGCGAGAAGCTGAAGCCGAAGATGAAGACGAAGACGAAGAATCGAGAGATTTGATGCCGTCAACTAGGATATCGGTACGTCGCTACCTTCGAAATGCGATGCAGGCCTTTGGTATGGTCACCACGACCACTACTACCTAGCAGAAATGCTAGATACCGGCCATCGTCTACATCCACGCACGCTCCGCTGCGGACATCCAGCAATGCACCCAATGGGTTGGACAGCCCGAAGGCAGAGGCATCCAAGCAGGGGGGCCAGAAAGAGCCTCGCCGCAATCTTACAGAGCAGGCTATGCGGGATCGAGAGGATTTATTGCGGGAATTTGGCCTGGAAATGGTTCCAGGCACTGCCAGCCAGGGCACAGGTGTGGACATCAATAAGATGGGCCAGCTGCAAATAACGGACGCAAATCTGAGTAAACGGCCTCATAAGACTGCCCTGGTCCTATATAGGGCCCCCGCTTCTCTTACAGAGAGAGACTTTCTACGCATCCTGGCCCCAGGAAAACACATTGAAGGATGGAAGAGCCAGGGAGGACTGGAGCAGAGTAAGTAGCTACTACTACAGGCAGAAATGGACTTTAATTGACGCTTATGTACAATAGTAATTCCTACTCGGAATCCCAAGACTCTGGATCGAATGAATGGTTGGATTCTTCTCTTCTCAAATCCTGCTGCGGCCGCTGCATATCAGGGGAAAGTACACAAGCTGCGTGAGCTACTTCGAGACAAAACTCCGTTTTACCCGGCGTCGAGCATCGACCTTCCGTCTAACTATGAGGTTCCGGGCTCTATGGGCTTTACATTGCAAGACTATACACTCACTGCACCCTGGCAATTCCCCCTGATTACCGCCGAGTTCTTCCCGTTCAGTAAATGGGTGTCCTCCTGTATCAGAACCCAGGAATCAATCACCGGCGTGATAGCGCACGACGAGGAAGAACCTCCTGAAACTTCGGCACCGGTTCCATTCTCCTCGGACGCAGCTGGATATCCTGTACGAATGTGCATTTCGCGTGACTCATTCCTCAGCCCGACGAGAAAATCGCTGATCAATTTTCTTTACTGGGATGGGGAAAGAAGATCTGTTCCCTGGGATCTTATCGAGGGCTGGGATAAGGTGATATTCCTGACTAACGGGAAGGAGGATGGCAGCACACCGCTGGGTGAAAAGGCTCATGCGAAGCCCAAGTTCGGAGAATATGACATCAGCAACTGGAGAGTAACGTTTAGGTCTGCATCTGATGCTAGGAGGTTCGTGAGGACGTGGCATATGAAGGAATTCCCACAGGCGGAAGATATGGACTATTGCGATCCGCCGCCAGTGATCAAGGCCGAAGCTCTCTTCTGGGACGAGAGTTTTTGAACCACTTTATCAGCTCCCGTATAATATAGGGGTATAAAACATCTCGGCCTAACTATATAATATGTATATTTACGGATAGAAGGTGAACCATGTATAGAATCGATTAGATACAATCCAGTTATTCTTTATCAGATATCACACATAGCAATGACAAGAAAGCAAACGAGAGGAACAACCAAAGGCCTGTCAATCGGTGGAGGGGATAGAAAAAAAAGACCAGGAAAGACTCGGAACAGAGAAAACGCCTTCTAAGCAATAAACACAATTCAGCCGGGAAGAGGAACCTGTGAGGTACACAGAGACGGTGGGATGGGGAGCGGACGGAGAGAAGTATATGATATGTGTATCTCGACATGGTCTCATGCCAAAAAGGAGCAACGCGAGCACGAGCAAGATCAAGGTGAATGGGAGGGGAAATGAACAAAGAATAAATATACAAGGCGGAAAGGAGGCATGACGGATCGTCGGGATACTTCTCTCGTATATTTCTTTAATAAGAAGAATTTCACCTCTCTCGCCCTCCAAAAAAAAAGTAAAAAAAAAGGTTGATAATGAATAAAGAATAGAAAGTGAGAATAAAAAGTGCTAGAACAGATAGGTAGGTTAGGTTGTGGAAAGAGCCTCGAGCAAAGGGAGACGAACTTGCTGGGGATATCTTCGTCTTGACTGTGATGTGATGTGATGTTTCATATCACATGTCGTAGAACTAGCAACATGACTTCCCGAGAGAGCCGCCGGCGCCACCGTTCTGGTTGTCTATGTTGACGCCCTGGGAGCCAGCCTGTTCCGCCTTGGAGACATCCATGTCCTTCTTTATTTCGGTGGCGAGGCTGTAGAAGGCCTTGTCGACGTTGATGTTGTTTTTGGCAGAGACCTCGAGGAACGGGATGCCGAGCTCATTGGCGAGCTGCTGGCCCTGCTCAACCGTTACGGCGCGTTTCTCTTCTCCGTCGCATTTGTTACCGATTAGTATCTTGTGTACTCCCTCGCTAGCATGTTGTTCAACGTTCGAGAACCAAGTTCGGATGTCTATTGATGATTAGTTTGAGAAGTAATACGAAGAAAGTCGAGGAGAATAAACAGAGATAAACAGAGTACGAACTCTTAAATGATCGCTCGTCAGTGACATCATAGACAAGTAGGATGCCCATGGCATTGCGGTAGTAAGCAGTAGTGATAGTTCGGAATCTCTCCTGTCCTGCGGTATCCCATATCTGCAGCTTTACTCGCTTGCCGTCGAGGTTTATTGTTCTGATCTTGAAGTCGATGCCGATGGTGGTGATGAAGGATGGGGTGAAGGAGTCTTCGCTGAAACGAAGCAGGCAGCAGGACTTGCCCACGCCAGAGTCTCCGATGAGCAGGAGTTTGATCTGGAGAGTGAATGTCAGCACAAGGAACCAGGTACTCTCTCTCGATCGATGCCGTCTGTACAAAGTAGCTGGGGCCCCTAAATGAGAGCTCTACTCAGGGGCAGGCAGAGGCAGTATGAAGAAGGGGGAAGATAGGCATACTAGAAAGTCGTAATTCCGTGTCCCCGCCATTACGTCAAGCTGTGAGAGGGTGCAGGGCGGTCTGTCGAAGATTCACAGGGCCGATAGGAAGTCTGGGGACAGCGTGGAAGGCCCCGTCGATAGAAAAAGAGCTGGCTGGCGAGCGATGCTGTATCACTGGCCGCGGTGTTGGCTGGCGTAGAGGCGGCTGCTCTGCGAGTGACGCTGCTATGTTTTCGAGATGCGATAGGTCCGTCCAGGCGAGAACCAAGGCCAGGGTGAATCGAGTCTGGGAGAAACAACGGCGAGACGGAGAGGCTGCGAGGGCTGTTTATCTGTCTCTTCTGGCTGTCACTGTTGCCCTGTTCTCCTCTGTCTGTCTGTCTGTCTGTCTGTCCGTCTGGATGCTGTGCAGGAGGATGGCTAATCTCCGGTGCGTTTCGATGGCGTGAAAGCTGTGAGACGGCGTGTGTCAGCAAGGGGCAGCGAAGTCCAACGGGCAGCCCGGGGCGTCCTCTACCTGTCTCTGTCTGCTCGTTTCCCGCGTCTCTGTCTGTCGGCTGCGTGATGTCGGCGTGGCTGGCGAGTTGTTGCTGGCGGTCGAAAGATGAAGTCAGCGTTTCGACCTCTTTTTTTTTTGTCTTTGCCGCAAAAGGAACAAGTCACTCGTCTTGGCACTGGCCACATAGAGATAGAAGACGCAGAGAAAAGACGGCGAAATATTAGAAATAAAACAAGATCTAGAATTAGATCAAGAATTAGATATACGATATATACTTTGTACAGAGGCAGGAGAAAGGGCAGAGAATCTACAGAGTACGCAGATTAGACGTGGGGAGCGGCTACGGCGGACGGCGTGGATAGGGTGCTGGAAAACAGGGGCCTGGATGTACTTGGGAGGCGACAGGAGAGCTATATACAGGATGTGTAGACAGGCAGGCGGAGGCGATGCTGATGGGATTCTGATGAGATGATGCTGATGGTGCTACGAGTAGATCCATTTGGAATATGTCCATCTGATCTGGTCGACAACTTTCATCTGGTGGGCGATGCCAGCTCTCACGTTCAGCAGGTCGTTCAGGTCCTCGTGGAACTCATGGTAGATGGCTCCTGGGAGGACTCGCTCGGCTCTTCGTCGCAGTGTCTCGGCCTCGCATATCAGGAGACCGTGGTCCTTGTACGAGAGGACTCCCGTTTGCGAGGGGAGAGAGCTCATCAGGATCCGGTTGACGGTGCTATCAAGCTGTTAGACGTGTGCGTGCGTACGTGCGTGTGTGTGCGTGTGCGTGTGTGTGATATGGAGAGAGAAAATTATCAAGAGTAGAGAACTAACCGGAGAGAACGGACGATTTCGCTGCGTCGTTGGCCCTGTCGTAGGCCTCTCCTGCTGCCGAGGAGGCCTGCAGCCCACTGTACGGTTGCATAGGACACCAGGATGCTGGGAGTAAGTCCGATGAAGCTGGTGTGCAATGGGTTAGCAAGCTGGAACGAGTACGACGAGGAACGAACCGGAAAATATAGACGTAGACGTACGCAAAAACAAGCTCCTGGCTCTTGAGGATGGAGTTTATGCCGCTGATGGCCACCTCGACGTCGACTTTGGTCTTCTGGATCTGGATGAGCAAGGCAGTGACGAGGTCGCCGCGGATGGCACCGATGAAGGGCCGCTGCAGGTCCCGTTCGTACGCTCGCAGGACGGGGGTCAGGTCGCCCTGCCGCACGCCCTGGCGGATGAGGTCGAGAGCATCGGGGTGGCCGGAGAGGCCAAGGTCCTGGGACGGGCGGGTGCGGACAAAGTCGACGACCATGCGCTCGAGGCTGGAGAAGTCGGCGTCGAGGCTGTTCTTGCTCATGAGGGCAACCTCGCTCTTCTCGTCGTGCCGGATAGTGCCCACCAGCCTGGTCAGGGGCTCGATGATCCAGTTTGTCCAAAAGTCGGACACGGTCGACCCAAGCTCGCGCAGCCAGGTGAGCAGCTCTGCCTGTCTGCTGGTGAGGATGTTCAGCACGGTGCTGGAGGAGAGGAGGAGCGCCAATGCAGCAGGCCAGTAGCGCACCAGTCTTGAGGGGCGGGCATAGTTGCAGGCGAGCAGGCGGCTCTGCTCTTGCTGATGAGGGAGATGGTGCTCAAGCACGTCGATGAGCAGTTGGATGACCAGGTAGGCCTGGTCGGTTGGGCTGGGAGAGCGGCCTGTCCCAGCAGTTTCGTCAATAGTCACCAGCGACTCCTCCATGGCGCGTATCCCGCTACCGACGGTGGAAAAGACATTGTCTTCGAACCCGGTCAGGTCGGTGTCCAGATTGTTGACGTGCTGGAGGACAGTCTGCATGAGCACGGTGGTCCGCGAGACGAGATCCCGCCATTCGTCTGGGCTGTCATGTTTCTTTGACGATGAAGGCGCTGGATCCGGGGCAGCACTACCACCAGGGCCTGTATCCGGAGTGATAATAGCAGGAGGAGTGATGGCCTCGTCCTCGTCAGCCACGTCGAAGAGGAGACCTTCCTCCATGAGCAGGCCAACGGCACAGGCGGTCATCTCCCTCAGCCTGCGCAGGCCACTGCGGCTAGCTCGAGCCCGGCAGCGGGCCAATTGAAAGGGCGAGAGGACGAGCTCTCTGGCCTGGGAGCTGGAGACGGGACGAGCTCTGACGCTGTGGTGGACAAGCCGGTAGAAGGCCCGCCATCGTGCCATCAAAGTGGTGCCATCGTGGAGTCCGCTGCCAACACTAAGGTCCTCCGCAGAGCTGCCCCTGCGAGCATGACGAGCATTATTACCATTATCGTTGCTGCCCATCTGCCGGATGTTCCGATATATGCTGATCAGGTAGCTCGCCCAGCGTGCCGGCGCCGTCTGGAGGGTGTAGAGGCCTGAGTAGAAGGCCGACCCAAGCACCTCGTCCCAGTACCAGATGCCGTCGCTGAGGGGGACCGTCTCGTCGACCATCGAGCTCGTGACGGCGGCAAACGTCTGCACCGTAGCCTTGGAGGCCACCAGCCACAGCAGACCCGTAGTATACTCTCTGGCCGGTGCATCGTAGTCTCCTTCTTCTGCGTCTTTGTCTTCATATTCGGTGTACCTCGTCTCGGCGGTTTGTATGGCCTGCTGCAGGCGATGGACACGGCGTAGGTGGTCGAGCACCCTGGCCGGCTTCAGCGTATGGCCCCCAGAAAGAGCTCTGGCAGCTGCAAGGAGCGGCGGACGGACTGATCCCAGGTCCTCCTGCGCCCTGCCCGTCCTCCTCGCTGCCCTCCTCACATCCTGTGTGGTGGTGGTGGTGGTGGTGGTCGTCGTCGTCGTAGTAGCCTCTCTCGTCCCGGCTGCTGCGGCCTCACGCTGCTGGCTCGTCTCGACGCCGGCCTCCGCAAGGCCTCGCAGCTGTAACCGGTCGACGTAGGCGTCCAAGCGGCGGACATGACTGCAGCCGTCAGCACCTATCTCTTATAAGTACCGTTTCTCTGCGGCCTCATCTTCGTCGTCATCTCCCAGCTCTGCCCGTCTCTGCTACTACAGTACTTACTCGCCAATGAGCGACATCCCGGCCACCCGGCGAGTGGAACGGCGTCCCGGAGCGTCTCAGTCTCAGATTCTGCGCAGTCTGGCGCTCTTCATCGAGTCATGAAGTCATGCAGTCATACGATCTCTGCGCGCGGTCTCGCTATGCTGGATGTTGTTCTTCCTTGCTCCACGCTGCCCTGCTTGTCCCAGCATGAGCGCCGCCTAGTTAGTTATATATAAGCCTGTCCACTCTACCTTGACCCTACTCCGTACCTCTCCCTCTCTCCCTCTCTCTGCCTCTATCTCTCTACCTCCCTACCTCTCTATCTCTCTACCTTAATAGTCTCTCTATCTAGTCTCTACTTAATATCTACTTCTTCTCTCTACTTCTACCTCTACTTCTCTTCTCTCTCGTATCTGTCAGGCCACCACGGCTCGTCAATAGGCGGCTGACTAAGCATCCCCCTGACTTTTTATCTTTTTCTTTATCTTTTTTCAGCTTCAACTTCAACTTCAACTTCAACAACAAGAAGAAGAAGAAGAGAAGAAACTGACAACGAAGACCATCGAGAGAGTCTTCTCTGCCGGTTCATTCCCCTGGACACGCCCGAGTCTTCACCGCTGGCTGCTGGCTTCTCTTCCGGCTCCCGCTGAGCCCTGTCCGTCATGTAGGTAGCCCTCTCCGTCCGCCGTCGAGCTGGCCGTTTGTTAACCTTCGGTACCTGCAGGAATTCAACAACGCTGCTCTCCCCTCCGCCGGAGACGTACTGGGCCCAGTTCCAGCAGACGGCCGCATACAACCCCCAGCTCAATGTCTTCGAGCAGATGTGGGCGGCCTGGTACGCCTACATGCAGAACGACGTCCTCGCCACCGGCATCATGTCCTTTGCCATGCACGAGATCGTCTACTTTGGCCGCTCGTTTCCCTGGATGATCATCGACCGTCTGCCGTACTTTAACCGCTACAAGATCCAGAGCGTGAGTATTTTATATTGCCGTTATTATGTTATTTTTTGCTGCTTTATTTTTTATTTTTATTTTTATTTTCATTTTTTTTTTTCTTACGTCAAAAACTAACCTGCTGTAGAATAAAATCCCGACCCTGCAGGAACAGTGGAATTGCGCCAAACTCGTTCTTCTCAGCCATTTTACAGTCGAGCTGCCCCAGATATGGTAGGATCCAGCCTGCTTATATAGAAGAGAAAAAAAAGGGGGGGAGGAAAGCTAACAGCAGTAGGCTATTCCACCCAATGGCACAATATTTTGGTCTAGAGACGACGGTTCCCTTCCCTCCGTGGTGGAAGATGGCCTACCAAATCGCCATCTTCTTCGTGCTAGAGGATACCTGGCACTACTTCTCGCACCGCGCTTTCCACTGGGGCCCACTCTACAAGTCCGTCCACAAGATTCACCACCAGTACTCCGCTCCCTTTGGTCTCGCTGCCGAGTATGCCTCTCCCATCGAAGTCATGGCCCTGGGCTTCGGCACTGTCGGCTGCCCCATCCTCTGGTGCGCCCTGACCGGTGACCTGCACATCCTCACCATGTATCTCTGGATCGTCTTCCGTCTCTTCCAGGCCATCGACGCCCACAGCGGCTACGAGTTCCCCTGGAGCTTGCACCACTTCCTCCCCTTCTGGGCCGGTGCAGACCACCACGACCTTCACCACGAGAAATTCGTCGGCAACTACGCCAGCAGCTTCAGATGGTGGGACTACCTACTCGACACCGAGTATGATCCCGCCGCCCTCCAGAGAAAGAGAGAGCAGAAGGCCAAGAAGGCCCAGTAGTCCTCTTCTCTTCCTCTACGTTCGTGTCTTCTCTCTCGCTTGGCTCCCTTTCCCGCCTTCCTGTCTCTCCCCTGCTCTGTTGAATACGACGCTACAAACGCAGCACGGCTACTTCTTCTTCCACGGCCACCAGAAACACTGTTAATTTCGATCTTCTTTCTCTCTACATGTTCAGCTTTTGACCCGCTTATCTGCTTTTAATGTCAGCCGCCCTGGCCAGCAGGCACCCTTTATTGACCTCTTCTTTTATTATGCCCCCACCCTTATATTACTTCCCTCCCTACGTTATAACGAGATCTGTCTGTAACCTACCAAAACCACCCCCGTCCCTCACCATGTCTGCGTTAGAGGTACAATAGAATAATTTATAAATACAAGTGTTAAAAACATACTCATCCAAATCCAGACAACTAATAATACGAACAAACCACCCACCCCCCGGGGGGGAAGAATGCCATCTACGTACTTTGATGCAGTCACCCTTGCAATCACTATGCAGGAAACCTTCTCCAACGGCATTATTGGCTGGAACTGGCCGGACTGGACGGGGTGATGCATCTTACACTCCCAAATATCTCGTAGTCTACGAAACCAAAGGGCGAACAGAGGCCACTCATCTCTTGCAAATATATGTGCGCCCCGTATGCAGGTATCCTGCCTGCAGTTATCCCTCGTTCCGCGCCCTCCAGCCTCTCCTATGGGGGGCCTCCTCCCTCCCCCGTCGCAATGCAAATCTCAGTCCTACAGTGATGCAACTAACTAGCGGGCTGAGGAATCCCAATGCCCTCCTCCTTTTGGTCTTTTCCCGTGATCTTATACATAAATAGTCTCATCCTGCCCCTCTGTTGTAGGTAGAAAGCTGCTTTGCCGAGTTTAACGAGTTAACTAGCTATCAATTTCTCAGTTTCTGCGGTGCAAAAAAAAAAGTATTTAACTAGTTATAACTACACCAAAAAAAAATATTTCCATTTATTCCCCCACCAGCCATCCACAGGAGAAGAAGAAGAGACGACAGACGTCGACGGGCGAAAAAGGCCGGGGATACTTGTCCGGCACCACCTCGTCTGGCAAAAGGACAGCTGTATACGTAGAATTGCTGCAAGATGGCCGAGTCAAAGCTGTTTACTGTCCGCCCGGCTTCCAAGCAAGCCCGCGCCGACCACAAAGATACATTCCGGGTCTATCTGTCGCCGGCGTCGCTGCTGCAGGTCAAAGTGCGAGTAGGCGAGCTCTGCCAGCTAGAGACGTATAGCATTGCCAGCAACGGCCATGGTGGTGGTGCTGTTGGCGCTGCTGCGGGTAGCAAAGTGAAGACGGCCATAGCATGGAGTGCCGCAGAGAAGATACACGACAACATCATCCAGACGACCAAGCAGATGCAGGAGCTCTACGGCCTCAGACTGGGTGACAAGGTCTCTATTTCGCCGGTGTCCGACCCGCTGGCTGATATCGAGACGGTCAGGCTCGAGGAGGTGAAGCGCAGCAGCTCTGCAGGCTCCTCATCAGCAGCTTCGTCAGTGGCCTCGGAGCTGGCAGCAGAAGAGCGTCCGCACTGGGAGTGGGCGCTTGAATACCCCCTGTTGAAATGCGAGGTAGTTTCACTCGGGCTGGCGTTTGACGTCGAACTTAAGGGCGTCTCCAGGCGGTTCAAGGTGGTCCATATCAATGCTGGGAGTAGTAGCAACGACACTGCCAACACCATCTTCAAATATACCCAGCAGTCGAAGGTGACCATTGGCAAGGCAGATGAGGTCCCCGGGGACGCAGATCCAGCGTCAACGGGCCGTCTGGAGGTCACGCCCGATGGACTCGGTGGTCTTGCGCCCCAGCTGGCAGTTGTCAACGAACGGCTGCAGGACTTCAATACCCAGGATCAAATGATTATCATGCCCTCGTTCTACAAGAGTACCGGCGGGATTCTCATCTACGGGGCCAAAGGAACGGGGAAGAGTGCGATGTTGGCAAAGATAGGGGAGGCCAACTGGCGCAGAACCTTCAACGTCACATCATCGATCACTAGCAGAACGGGGGGAGATGGAGCTGCAGTTCTACGCAAGATATTCTCGGATGCGCTCAAGTACCAACCTTCGCTCATCAAGATTGACCAGCTCGACTTTATAGCACCCAAGCGATCCTCTACAGGGCCAGCCGATGTTTCCCTCTCTCCTGCTCTCTGTGAAGCACTGGACTCGCTCCAGGACAGCAAGGTGCTGGTGGTTGCATGCACAAGGCACCCGAATGACGTGGATGATTGTCTACGAACACCTCACCGGCTCGGAATTGAGATTGAACTGCAGATTCCCACTTCAAAGAGCAGACTGGAAATTCTACAGGCTCTTCGCGGGTCGGCAACCCAACCTACCAACAGGGTGTTGGAGACTATAGCTGCAAAGACCCATGGGTACGTCGGTGCAGACCTCCTCTCATTGCTTCAGCTGTCCTGCAGAAAGGCAAAGGCCCGTATGTTATCGCCTGCGCCTCCGCCTCCGCCTACGAATGGTACATCTACATTCAGAAATCGTTTTTATGCAGGAGAGTATGAAAACGAGAGTGACGGGTATTTTGATGAGGATGATGAAGAAGATGGATACTATGAGGATCATTTGGATCTGTCCAGTGACAAACCACGGCTGTTGAAGATATACGAGAAAGACATGCTCCTGGCCATGAAAGAGATCCGGCCAACGGCTATGAGAGAGGTATTCTTGGAAACGCCGTCTGTAAGATGGTCGGACATTGGTGGCCAAGGGTACATCAAGGACCGTCTGCAGAAGGCTGTCGAGAGACCACTCAAAGTACGTCTTCCTCCCCCGACCTTCATCCTTACATACAGAACTTAATGCTAACGGATATAGAATCCTGAGCGAATGAAGAATCTCAATATCAGTGGAAAGAGGGGAATACTGCTTTACGGCCCCCCTGGGTGCTCAAAGACGATGATGGTCAAGGCCCTTGCCACCGAGGCCGGGTTGAATTTCCTTGCCGTTAAGGGAGCCGAAATGCTCAGCATGTACGTGGGTGAGTCAGAAAGGGCAATGCGGGAAATCTTCCGCAAGGCACGAGCTGCAAGCCCAAGTATTATCTTTTTCGACGAGATAGACGCCATTGCAGCTCGGCGAGACGCCGGATCTCATGGCGGGATTAACATTTTGACCACTCTGCTGAATGAAATGGACGGCATTGAGGAGCTGAAAAACGTTCTCGTTGTTGCTGCCACCAACAAGCCAGAGATCCTCGACCCTGCGCTCATGCGACCTGGAAGACTGGACAGCATATTATACATTGGGCTTCCAGACATGGAGGCTCGCAAAGAGATATTTGAAAACTGGATTGACCGCGCTGATGTCGATGACGAGGTGGACGCCATCATCCTGGCCTCCATGACCGACGGCCACTCTGGTGCCGAGCTCGTGAATATCTGTGAAACTGCTGCCGAACTGTGCCTGGACGAAGAAGAAGAAAAGAGAATGCCCAATCTACAGATCCAGGCCCAACACTTCCAAGCTTCGCTCGAAATGGTTCCGAAACGGACCCAGCCAGAGGTTATCCAAGCCTACGAGGAATGGAGCAGGAGCTTTGCTAACAACCAGCAGATAACGATCTTATGAATAACGGTTTCTCTTAATCCCATTCCTCACTCATGTTTGTATTCATTATATTCTTCATGCTTTGTCAATCCTTGCTTGTCGGGTTTATTATGAAATGTTTGAATATATATCTTGGAAAGCCCCTAGTTATTCAAACAAACTAGCAATATTATGCTTTGTAGAAGCATTACCTTACGGCATCTAGCAACCTTGGGACTTCATACACAAGTCTGCCTCGCCCACCACTTCTCCATACATTATACCCCCTGGTCAAACTTCCCGCCATCTTTCTTTTTCCTCTGTTGTGTTCCGTCCAATCAGTGTCACAGCGGACCTCATTAGTCAACGAAGGGTATTAAAAGGAGGCACCGTTAGACCAGCTAAAGTTGAGGAGAGGAAGAATAAGCTATAATGTGGTGAGAAGTGAAGATAGGTTGCATAAAGAAGTCCTAACTACATGGTTATAGTGTGGTCCCTGGGGCTAGCGGTTGCAAAATGTAGCACTTGTACGGCCGCCGCTACCCAGTTAATAGATCTCGTGAGGGAGATTGGTACGTCAGCGTGTCAAATACAGGTCCCTGTTAGCTCAAAGTCATCTCTCTTTTTCATAAATCCTGATGCACTCCAGAGTTTGTTATATCCAGACAGGTTTTGGAATAACAGGTATATCAAACCAGCCATTCATTTTCAGTGTCATTAAATTACCCTAGTTCAGTAGATCCCAAAGTACTGACGGCCAGATCCTCCATATCACTAAGCACCTTGTCTATGGGTTCTGCAGCACCAGACAAATGTAGAAAAAGTGCATTAACCCTGTGGAGTGCAAGAGTCCGAGGTAGCGGAGGGTCTATTGACCGGTCCTCAATTAAGTGCAGTTCGCGAGTAACCGGGACACCGCTTACCCAGCCATCGCGATACGATTTGTATCAATATTAAACTAGGAGGTAAAGTCACATACCAGCTTGCCGCTGGCATCAGCTTGGGCCAGTGAATGCGGGAGAATGTGCGACAATTTCAGGGGCCCCAATATTCATAGGCTGATAGTTAGGACACGCTTCGGATAGCCGATTCCCATCATCATCTTTAGCGCTGTCTTCATGTCACGCACACGAATATCGGCTTCATCTACATCGAATATATGGGAAATGACACATTTTGTGGCGATCACGAATGAGACATAACTGACGAAGGGCAGCCACCCGTTCTGGAATCGGGATATGCTCATGTGATGCTAGGACTCTTTGGAGAGCTGACATATGAGCCGGAGAAGGCTGTGGGGTGGAACGCCTAAAGGCTCGCACTATTGAAACCGAAATTAGTAGCTAAGCATTGAGATATGATAGATAGGAACCTACTTGGGGGGAGAAAATGTCATCATATAGAAAGCTTGCAAATGCGATTAGGTTCTCCCGCGGGTTATCAGCTTGGCTAGTGAAATCCGGGGTGGGGACCGTGTCGATATCAGTTCACATTATGTCAAAAAACATCCTGAGAATGACGCCCTGCGAGAGACCCGGCAGTGCAAAGCTGTATGAATGATGGAGAAGGAGAAACGGCTGTATCTGGGAGGAGAGCTAGAAGCAAGTTCCTCATGCTGGAAATGATCGATATTCGCATGAAATATCGTGACTGCGCTCTCTCTCTAGTTTTCCGAGAGCAGCTGGGGAGGAAACTTGATTACGCCCTTCAGTGAAGATTGGGGGTGAAGATGGGCCATTCTAGAGACCACCTCCCTTGTGACAGCACTGGTACCAGTGGATGGAATTTATCCGTGTCCGGTAAGTATAAGCCTAGCTGGCTGGAATCTCATGGCAGTGATTCCGGGGTATAGAAAGCCCTTAGACGGTTGGTCTGATGATGAGATACAGCGCTGTGCCCCTGGGGGAGTTGGAGTTGCTATGTAGTTGGATGTACATAAGTAGGCAATCTGAAGCCTGTCGTCGTTGGCCGATAAGATAAGGCGGAAATAAGGTTGGCTCCAATGGGAATTAGGGTTCATCACGTGATCACTTCCTTGCCCAGTGGTCCATTCGGTTCATCAACAACGACCTCGACTTTTTCTTCCTCTCTACGGCGTTTGTACAGTATTCAAAGATCTTTGCGTGTCAAAGTTGAAAAGGTCGTTCTCGTTGGCCATTGAGCTCCTCTGAGGCGGGTAAAGTACTCTACATTTTCCGGGAACACCGATTATACCACTGTCAGACCCTCTCTGCGTTGTTAGACCAGCTATCACCAAGCCCGGAGCTCCCTCAATTTAGCAGGATGCCATCGCGCAGCCGCTCGCGCTCGGCGTCGATAGCTTCGCGCGGGTCTCATCGCCATCGTGGTGCCGATATTTATAGTAACAGACGACCCTCTCAGCCGTCACAATCTCCCCGCCGCCGGCTATCGCGGTCCCGCACCAGATCACGGTCAAGATCACCTCCCCCACGACGCGCGAGATCTCCTCAGAATCATGGGCGAAGCTATAGCCGTGGTCGAAGTGCATCGCCAGCTCGAAATGACCGAGACAGGCGCAATGGAAACCGTGGTGTGCGGTACAGTGAGTCTCGGTCAAGGTCGCGAAGTCCATATTCTTCGCGCAGCCGCAGTCGTAGTCGCAGCCCTGTCAGAGACCGCCGACCGCGTGGCAGAAGCTATACCAGAAGTCCTACTCCCCCCGCTAGAAGAAGTGCAAAGGTATCGTTTATTCTCTCTAGTTATTTGTAGCCTGGGTGCGGAAAGTTGCTAATCTCACTGTGTCAGATCGTCGTGGAGAAATTGACAAAGAATGTCAACGAAAATCACCTGCGTGAGATCTTCTCTGCGTACGGCGAGATAGAAAGCCTAGAATTACCGATGAATCGGCAATGTGAGCGCCTGCTTCTCTTTACATACATAGCTTATTCTACTCTACGGACAATATCGCTAATCAACTTATGTTATGATTTCAGTCATGACCAACCGTGGAGCTGCGTACATTCACTATCGCGATCCTGCAGACGCCGAGTCCGCAACTGCTCATATGCATGAAGCCCAGCTTGATGGTGCCGTACTAAGCGTCTCTATAATACTCCCTCGCCGCACATTTTCGCGCTCCCCTCCCCCGGCCACCAGACCCTCTCGTGCGGAATATGGTGGTGGGCGGTACGGAGGCGGCAGGGGTTCAGCTTTTCTTGATTCGGGCAGACCACCACCGCCGTTGTCTTCAAGGTACCGCTCTCCACCAGGCCGTGGCAGATTTCGCGGAGGCCGCGCTGCGGATCGACACGATATATACCGTCCGCGGTCAGTCTCACGATCCCATTCCCCCGTCGGGCGAGCAAGGTCACCTTCATATTCCTCGAGGTCTCCATCAGTTACACCTCCACGCATGAGACGTTCGAGAAGAGATAGCCCGCCACGTCGTAGGAGAAGTCTGAGCTATAGCAGTGTCAGCAATAGAAGTCTAAGTCGATCTCCCAGCAGGACTAGGGGCCGTTATGGGCGCTGAGCACATCATACAAGGCACAACCTACAAGAATCATCTTTTCATTATCATCATTCTTTACTACACTGACTTGCTGGAGACGGATGATTTACTATGGAGTTTCAAAGATTTTTTTTTTTTTTTCCTTCAGTGAAATGTTGTTGTTCATATTTAATTCAAAACAGATGTATAACATGGGCGAACATCGGGCTGGGAGTAATTAAAAACCATCTATGGCTTCTATTTTTGCATCTGAGGCTACGCTCACGCCTACATATCCCTGTTTCTTATATTTGCATTAAACATAGAAAATAGCTTCAACGGTATACATAAATCAGCCGCTGAAATGATATACATCTATCGACAAGGATTGTGCAAGCGCTCTGGTCTCAGAAAAATGGGCACCAGCCTATATACATCGCTGCAAGATTCTTGTCTTGAGTTGCCTGTAAAATTAGTTCATCGACATGTCCTCCAACTGATAACGGGACTGATTCCCCGGGAAGAAGTCCTCGGAGCTTGTTACGGATAAGTTCGAGCACACCCTCTGGTGTATCTGGAACGCGTGGGTTATGTCGTTTCTGCAATCTGTCAGATGCTTGTGATATGTATTCCATGATCAATGGGTAAACTAACCTTCTTTCCAATGAAGTCTGTAGTGGGCTCATGCAAGAAGGTTTCGAGAATAGTCATAAGAGAATCTTCGTTTTGTCGAAGGAGACCCAGAGTGAGCTCGCAAGTCTTCCGGAAAGGGCCTTGAAAGAATGAAGGTACTGGATTAGCCATTTAATGTACTGTTGATAACATGTCCCGGGCAATTTTTACCGTTGTATCCGTATGCCCCATACGCATCAGTCATATTATGGGTAAGCCGGAACGGGACAAGTTCAGGTTTGTCAAAAGTCAATCCCTATTAATTAATATGCGTTAGAACCCTTGCATAGAGACACAGTCGAGGGCAGCCATACCTTGTCAAAGAGGCAATTGAAATCAACATGAAGAATTCCTCCAGTCTCTTCCTCAAACAGTATATTCTCTCCGTGTCTATCACCAAGTCTTCATTAAGAAGATCAGCCTGGGTTCATGTTTTCTGTTGGGGGAGTTGTAAGGGAAATATAATCTTCACATACCCCAGGGAATATCCAACCATGGACATCACAGCGCTGGATCTTGTGTATTTTAGGCGAGCCGCAAACCATGTGGCTGGCTCTGGGAATGTTTCAACAAACCAGTCATGTAAGACCGGCGGATACCTGATTTTATATTAGCTTGTGCCTTAGATAGAAACATGGGGAGCCTTAGGTGGTAGGAACAAAATCACGCACTTCTTCAATACTTTCTCCCTGAAAACTGAAAGTTTGGAGTCATCCGAGCATGCTTCATCCAAATTCCGGCGTATCTCGGGGTACTTTATTAACTTTAGCGTCACTCTGCTAGACATGTCAAGGTATCACTCCACTTACGTTCACGGACACGCCTCGATCTTTGAGAAGTCTTGTCACAATATCCCTTAGGGTTCTGAGGTTATTGACCCATTCAATTAGGCCACATTCTTCATTCAACGGGGTAACTGCATATGTTTTGATATCTGTGTGCCACCCGGGGTTAGCGACTAAGTTATGAAAATGTTGAATCAAGAGAACAGCCTTACACAAGCGTCGCTTATTTGACTCAAGATCCCTCATAAGGAGTCGGTTGATCATGCTGTTGAACTCCATTAAGCGCTGGTCTTTGCGTAGATCATCCTTCGGCTTGCATAGAAGACCATATATCTTTCCGTCTGACCCGCGTATATTTATCTTACGCGGCTTTTGCAGAGAATTGAGAACTAAAGCCTCGTCCAATATAGCTGGTTTGTCAATGTTAGCTTGCGTATATTTTAGGGGAAACATATTATTGATGACCCTACCCTCAATTGTTATAGTATCGGCTGGAAAAGCGCGGAACGTCTTGAGGAAGTGAGGCTCGTGACTTGGAGGCAGTGTCGGGGTCAATGTAGCTTGTAAAGGAATCGCGAGCCTGCACGGTGCTACTTTATGGTTAAAACGCAAGGATTTGGATAAGCTGACTTTTGAAGATTTCTCTTCTATGCGCGCGAGACAAAGTCCCAAGAGCTCTTCCGAAAGCTTCTGGCCTTGGTTAATGATCAACCGAATATCTCCCGCTGGGGGCTCTGTTCTTGATTTCCTGGCGGACTCCTAAAATGCTGTGAGAGAGTGCTTCTTCAACGCAGTAGTCTTCTTCAGGTTTTGCCTAAACAGAGCCCTAGGCTATACTTACAGTTATTTTCTGAAGTATGGTAATTCCACGGGAAGCACGATCTTTTGAAGAAGACTTTAGAAGAGCAAGCACAGTCCATAGGCCTTGCTGGGGAAAAGCAACAACCGGTCTCACTATCATCGACGTGAGAGTATTATAAACAGTGCTATTAGATTGACAGATTCGGGCCACAACTTGGGGTAGAATTGTGAAGAGCTGGTAGTGTCAGCACCCGTATTACAGGAATATAACAGTGAAAAGTTGAGCTTACTAATGCCGGAGATATGCGACTGATATATTTCTTAAGTTGAGAGTGCATTTCATCAAGATTCTTTTTTCGTTGCGACATGTTGTGCTTCTGGAAATCCCTAAAATACATTTTAGACGCAATTCACTTAAGAGGGTTGGCATACATACTCATTATCACCTCGTTTTGGGTCAAATGGTTGGTCGACTGCTGAGGCATGTTCTAACCATAGCGTAAGAACCTTAGGCAGTGTTTGAGAAACATACTTATTCCCAAAGGTTAGAGATCTCAGATAGCTGTTAATGACCAACTTCGAGGCTTCACCGCTCAAGCTAGAATAAAACGTTAGGACGTAGTCTTATTGTAAAAAAAAAAAAAAAAAAAAGGTACGTACTATTTTTGACCCTCTTTACCCAAGGGTTTGGACTTTTCGGAGTCCAATATTTTGGCATAATGCTTTCCTAAGTAATAATGGACCTTTTCCCACCTAACAATGACGATTAGCTATCCGATACTGGTAACTGGTGCAATTAACGTACTTCGGATGGTAATGGATAGCCTGTCGGTATCTCGAGACAATGAAATCTGACTGCGTCTGTCCAGCACTATCCATCCATTTCGCAAGTAGGAGATAGGCCTACGAAATTCAATTAGTGGATATTGGCTGTTACCAATAGAAATACGTGTACTGTACATACCCTTGCCATAAGTAAATTTTGCTCGTAGCCTTTTGCGGGAACAGAGGCGTCATTATCACTAGTTCCAGAGCGACCAGTGGGACCAAAGACATTGGCAGAAATGGCTCCTTCTAGCGTTTGTATAGCCTTCCTATGAAGCCCCTCCTTCCATAGAAGTCTTGCATATTCAATTGTAGAATTTTTGTCGTTAAGCTGGGCAGAATGTAGGACTGCATTAAAAGCTTGGTCTTTCCAGTTTGCTTTCCTCGCCAGCCTCGCAATCCGCTGCCAAACAGAAGCAACTTCTAAGTCATCGTATGCAGGGCTATGAATGGTCAGAGTCACGCCTCAAACTTCCTGAGAAACAATTTGGAAACTTACGACAAATCCATGATAGCTTGTCTAATCCCAAGGACATACTGTTTGTCAAAAATACAGCCTCCTAACATGTCTAAACGACGATCCAATATGGTAAAAAGCTCATTCCGTGGAGTAGAAGGGTTGTCATAAGAACCTGAGGTCAGGAGCTCTATTTCACTCAAGACGTGCAGCTTAAGGGTGCCATCGTGACTAGCCTGGAATGTTGACACGGAGTTCAAAGTGAATCCTGATGCAACATTCATCCGGAGCTCCTCTATAATTTTTTCTAGCTCGTCTTTCTTCCCCTGGCGAAATGCAACCAGGCCAACACCGACGCCGATGTTGAAGTCGGTGGTGATCTCATCACGGCGGTCTAAGGTGAGCTTCTCAAGCTTCCCCCATTTCCCTGTCACCCAGGAGGATTCGATTGCCAAAGGGAGCATCTTCGGTATAATAGCCTCATTCTTCTTCAAGGAGTCAAATTGGTTGAGAAGTATACCTAGCGAAGTCAGTACCATCGACACTCTAGCACTTGTCGTTATCTCATACCGTATTGTCCAGATTCCTTCAAGCATGTTAGAAGATTTATCTGGGTATCGAGGTCCTTCGGTGACTTATTTAATTGCAACTCATACCAGCTCTGCGCTGCAGTCCATCGGCCTGAGTTTCGATGTTCCAATATTTGTTGGTCAAGATCAAGGACATGCAAGTGTGATGATATGCCTTCAATCCCGTCTGGCTCATCAATCTGGGTATAAATATCTTGTAGTCTTTGATAAAGTGATTCCAGCTCCATGGCATCTGTTTCTGGTCGAGACTTCTGCTGGCGTATGTACTGCTCCCAATGGAAGAGCGCCCTAGCATATGACTTACATTCAACTGCCCGTTTGGAAATTATCTCAGCTGGTATGCAGGATAGAAGATGCTCCACCCTCTTTATCTGGACAGCAGACTCCGTGAGGGACTCTTTTTGACTACGGCTGGCGTTATTCCCAATAGAGGTGATGCTAGTATACTCCTTCTTCTTTCCATGCAACCAACGAGAGAGGTAGTCTAAAACAGCAAACACGCTCTTAAATTTTATCAGTATTAGTATATTCCATCGTTTCTAGAATTTTAAACATACCTCGCTAAATAAAATCAGGTTCTCGCGCTCAGGTCCCTTGTGGTCTGGCAGTGGGCATTCTAAGATGTTGGTAAGCTCCCCCTTGAGATGCTCACGCTCTTCGTCGATAGCACTAACCGCAACATTAAGAGCGGCGAAAGGGAGCAAGAACACAGATATAGATTTTTCCTGGGTTCGAATAATCCGACTGAAAACACTGAAAAGTATTTGGATATTTCTGCTTTTGCCTTTTTGAAGCATGTCAAGGACAAAGGTCCTAAGCCACTCTGAGTGGTTTAGAGCGGGGGTAAATAAGGGATATTGACATGATGTACTGATTGCACCGATCGTCACAGAGTACTTGGAGTTGAGAAACGGGGTTAGGGTGTTTCTAGAGAGCTCGGGAAGTTCTAGCCAGCGTCGATACAAGTCGCTGGACTGGGGATCTTGTGACCTTGGCGGAATAGCTGTGCTTATGTTACCAGTAGTCAAGAGTGCCTGCATAGCATACGCAAGAAAGCCTTGAGTTCGACTGTTGGACGCTGCCAAAAAAGCATCAACAAGAACGTTTTGCAGACAAAATATTATGAAGTCAAGGGTTTCATCGGATCTCTCAAAATTGGACAAGACAACTATATCCTTTTTCTCTTTGATCGACTCTATGCGATTGGGATCAAGGCAGCCTATTAGACCGAGGCACTGGGCGGATAGTAGGACTATGGTTGGGGAGCTTGGATTATACTTGACGCAGCAATCCAACAAGGTTCTTGTCACTTTTCCAACCAGGCTTTTGTCCGGTTGTTCACTAAACACAGAGCCATGTATGAACTCTTCGTGATTAGCGATGTTTGGCAGAAGCTCAACAAGAGCTCGCTCGACAACAGCAAAATTATCGCTTTGACATCGCCGGCAAAGAGCCATGAATTTACTCCCTATATCCATCACCTGTTTGAGGTGCTCGATCTTTTTGTTTTGCTCAGACAGTTCAGGTATTGATTCTAGAGACGGTAGAGTCTCAAAAACAGCAATAAGGGTATCGCCATTGTCCCTGAGAATGTAATTCACAAGCTCGATTTCTTTCTTTTTGGTCTCTTCCGTTAAGAACTCCCAGTATTTAAGAATGAGAGCGAAGGTTTGATCAACTAATGGCTCAAGATCAACCTCATTGAGAGCAAGTATCATAGTGTTCCAGGTAGCAAATGCAAGGTCACGAAGGTCATCTGTGTCTAACGCAGCGCGCAAGCAGGCACAAATCTGAAGAGCAGGTCAGAACACAGCTCACTTGGTAGCTGTGGGGGTGGGAGAAACTAACCTGTGGTAATGCAATTCCAATATTGCCCTTGGCAATTTTTATCATCTCCCCCAAGGCGATTATATCCCGTTTCTTCTCTGGAATTGGCTGCAAAACCTGAAAGTCGTTGATAACATGGACAAACTCTGTTACCACTCCAAGAACGTGCTCTTCAAGGAATACACTTAGATTCTCTGATTTTTCAACTACCCCCCGGCTGACTTGCCGAGGTGTAACGGACGCGATGTATTCAAGGGCATCGTAGTACTACTCATGTATTAGTATTTTCATGTATAATGTTGGTAAAGTGCATTACCTTGGACCCTTTTCCCTCACCCGAACCCCCTAGTCCTCGTAGGAGCTCACAGGTAATTGGGACACACTCAGATCGAACCAGCTTAGAAAGAGTTGGGTCGTTGAATTTCACAGAAAGCTCTTGGAGTATACACGGTATTGCAGCTTCTGGGTTAGGCAGAGGCTGGACCAACAAAAGAGCTAGAATTGAGGCCAGATGCGACCGGGTCTTGATTAATTCTGAGATAGACTTCTTGCTGTGTGTCATGGCAATTCGTGAGATGATATCTTTTTTTCTGGTCAGAACGAGATAGGGCAAGGTGTAAGACGTTGTCAAGCGTAAGAACCCATTAACCTCCATCCCGAGTAAATCACACAATTGATCCGCCATTTGTGGCCGAGCTTGGAAATTTTTTATGACCAACAGAGATAGTGTTCTCCAATATGGCCGAAAGAGTGCTGCAGGTGTCAACCTCAACAGAGTTGCCAGTTTAGATATCTATACTTAGTTAGTATAACAGTTATATTTGAAAGGGATATGTCCATCACCTACCTCTGTATATGCTATCCCACTGACGAATGGGTTAGCATGACCTAAATATTCAAGTAACCGTAGAAGCACAATGTTCATCTCTTCGTCATTTGAAATCCTGTTATTCAGATGTTAATAGAGGCCAGTAGAGAAGTAATCACAATGAACCTTACTCGGCTATTTGACGCAGAGCCATAACGCATGTTTCCTGTAAGAAAAGCTCATTCTTCTCAAAAATTTTGTGAAGGTACTCTAGAGCCACAATGAAATTGCTACAGCGTATATCTGATCCACGAGAGCCTCTCAGAAATGATACTAATGCTTTCCTAACAGGACAATACAGTTAAAATCATACAAGCTCAATGTGCTATGTCGAGGGGTCATAAGGATATTTACTAACCCGGCGGCAACCCTTAACTCTCGAATAGAGCTTTTGAGAGACCGTAGACAATATTCTCCAAATAGAGAAATATCTAGCCTGTCTTCGGTATCACGCAAATCATGGTTAACAATGTTGCGAATAGCGATCATCGCAGATATTCTGCAGCTTCCTGAATCCTCGATTCGTGGCAGAATTCCGGCAATAATGCTCCTAAGATGGCCAAACTGAAGAGGGGATATCGGTTTCTTTGCATGGCACTTCTCCATCTCACTATTGCACATTTTGCACATATACGTTTGTCCCGCGATATTACCATATTCCTCTCCACAAAGACTTTGTGCCCAGGCACAAGCAAGTCTTCCCAGATTCATAATAATGATGCATTTGTCGGCAGGAGACAAATTGGAGAAATCTTGCCTAAAACATGTCAGCAAGAAAGTACCCACGAAATTGGTAACAAGTAACTCACATAGCATCTTCATCTAAATCTTCAAGGCCATTTGGAGGAAAGACCCCAAGGGTACTGTATATTTTATTTGAGATAACACTCGAGAGATCTGAGTGGCCGTTCTGGTCTTCTGTATGGGACAGTCGCGGCCTCTTTGAGGCTCTTTCATCTGTAGAGGCATCAATCACCGCGGGAATGGAGGAATCCTTCCTGTCAAGGATATATGAGCGAGAAGTTGACCCTCTATCTTTATCAAATAAGCCAACACGCTGGACTACCTTCAACCCAATCTTTGTTCTATGCTCTCCGGCGACGACTCTAAGAACAACATGCTATATCTTGTTAGTCCGCCTCGCCCCTGCTGGTGTTGAGTACAGCTAACTTACTTGGAGTGATTGATGCAGTGTTTGAAAGAAGTCTATATTAGCACCAATGTCGGATAAGGGATAGAAAAACAGCTCCTCGACCAAGCTTTCCACCCCTGCTGACGATTGGCTTAGACGAATTACTTCCATCAGGAATTCAGCCAGAACCTGTTGTAATTCAATGCTTCGCTTTAATTGCTCAGGGTCCACAAGATCGACGACACATTGAAATAATGGCAGCAACACCTTCTGATCGATGCGTGAACTAAGCCGAGTCGAATATGAGCATAATTTTCTGGAAAACGAGACAAACTCGACCAGAAGGCTTGTGAGACTTTGTTCGCCTACAGCCACTGTATTCTCATCAAACCATTCGAAAATTGCTTTCCACAGCCTTACAGCAAAATGCAAACCATGGTTAAAGCTTTCACGCAATAAGGAGGCTTTTGAATCGGTTAAGGGAAGCTCGACTGGGAACGTGATAGTCTCTATGAGTCTAAGGCAAGCAATGGCAACAGTTTGTGAATTTCCTAGCTCGATTTTACCGCAGCAATCGCGGGGAAGGCCAAGCTCATCCAGACAGGATAAAAATTCAACAGTGGGCACTGGAAAATACAAATCATTGCCGGGGAAAATCCCTCCACACGGCCTTGTAGCGGTCTCGATTGAATAAATCAATTCTACATTAGCTCGGATGGTTAGCAGGAGATAAAATTGAATCGACCAAGGGAGACATGAACTAACCACCAATGCAGGCCTGGAGAAATCGAGATATTGATTTAACCGAGTACCAAAGGCGAATGGTTTTGAACTGAGTGCCATATATGACTGAGACAACCTGGCATACTTTGTCCTGTATACTTCGATCGTCCCGAGAGCAAAGGAGAGTCAGGAGAGATGACAGGACCCATACGAACAAGGGCAATTGCAGAGTATTTTCTTTGATAAATTCTGGTTTTGCACTTCCATTTAGAACTGCTGGTGCTCTCTGTACGGCCAGACGAATGATATCTAGACAGTCAAGGATTTGGCCTATAATATCATCTCCCAAAGCCCTGGGACCCCGGGGCTTTGAAGATTGTTCAAACCCGGCTCTTACCACCACACATATTAGATTGTAGATATCATTGATGTTATCATTGGTGTTTGCTTCGCCCTCTTCGCTCTGGCTAAGAATTTCCCGCCGGAGCTGTGAGAAGGTTTCCCGGTCAATTCCATATTCGCCACTTGTGTCTGCGGCTAAATGAGATGCAAGATGGCTTGGTATAAGTGAAGACAGAGGCACATCTCTGGTTTTGATGTCCCGCTGTTTCCCTAGGGAGCGCCGGGACTGTAAACCATAAACCATTCTGGCTAGCCATGAGAGAGATCCATCCCATGCAGACTCAAAAGGAGGTGAAGAGGATAAAATGCGATTCGCCACACTTGAAAACAAAAGCATCAACTTCGCGCGTGGTACCTATATTTACGCGTAAAAAAGGGGTTAGGGAGGAAAATCCATGGACTTGATGGGATGTCGTTCAATTAAGATACAAATCACGAAAAAAAAAAAAAACCCCATTTAAGATCTTGAGGCTGAAAACATTGCGACCGAAGGCCAATTTGTCATCAAATTCTTAGTCATCCACTAGAGTAGAATGATTTAACGGGGATCAACGCTACTTGACCGTGATATTAACCAATGAAATCCCCGATATTAGCTGACAAATCAGAAAACTCTCGTGTAGTACTTATAGAATGGTCAACCACGCAAAAGCTGCGAAGTTCAAGATAATAATAACAATAGCTCTTGATACCCTTAAGAATTAATAACTACGGAGCATCTTCATGATGCACGCTGTGTCCAACCTTTCGAAACATGAGATCTTTATGAAAATGGCCCTAAAAATGGTATTAACAGGCTCAAAAGTGTGCTGTTTCATGCATCTGATGGAGACTGACAATCCTTCAAGGCCGAAACGGCTCTAGCTGTCGGCGAAACGCCTGTAGGCTGTGTTCTTGTAAATAAAGACAGGGTGATTGGATCCGGGATGAATGATACAAATAAGTCTTTGAATGTAGGTTGAATTAATTTCGTGTGGCGAATATTTCTGGTGTATCATGTACTGAATCGCTAGTCTGTGTGTAGGGAACAAGGCATGCAGAGTTCCTAGCCATCGAAGAAGCACTACGAAGCCACCCACGGTCCATTTTCCGTGAAACTGATTTATACGTGACCGTTGAACCATGTATCATGTGTGCCTCAGCACTACGACAGTATCAGATAAGAAGCGTCTATTTTGGTTGTGCCAATGAACGCTTTGGGGGTACAGGGGGGGTCCTTACCCTCCATTCAGAGTCAGTGTTAAACATCTTAAACCAAACCCAGCAGGATAGCAAATTGCTACAAAAGTGTCCTGTGGCAGCTAACAATCATAATAGCCCTGCAATAGACCAGCCATACCCAGTTTACGGCGGTATATTTAGAAAAGAGGCCATTATGCTTTTACGGAAATTTTATGTGCAAGAAAATGAAAACGGTGAGAAAGTTCTATTAATGAGTCATCAGTAACCATTCATTAACTGTGAGATATAGCCCCAAATCCCAAAGGGAAAAAGGACCGCAAGCTCAAAGACGAGATAGAGGACGCTCCTCACTTGAAAGGAATCAAAGGTATATTGCCTATAGAATGATGTAGAGTATAGGAAACTGGTCATTTGTATTTGCCACGAGTATGATATAGATACAGGGGAAAGTTAGGGAAAGATGGCTGTTACATTCATCAATTGCAAGGGTTATCTATTGACTAGCCATCATTTTTACACGCTCAGCTTCCAACTCTCGCTCGGCTTGGCGATAATATTTTGCGGTGTCAACACCGTGCTAAAGGTTACGGTATAGTCAGCATTCATATAGAATTCTATCAGAAATAGAAATTGTGCCTACCTGGTTGTGATTGACAACGTTGAACCAGGGAATCACATGAATAAAGAGGGAGGTGTAGCGGGAATTCCGTGCAGCAACACCCTGCATGTATGGCGAAAGTACAGAGGTCCCGTATAGTGGCTCTCCTTTTTTGATCTTGTCAACCATTTCCCGCATATCCATCTCTTCTTCACGAGAGTTCTCCGTGAGTCCGTAAAATCGGTCTACAAGAAGGTTGCTGTCAGTAACAGGATCAATGTAAAATTCTACAGTACCAATCTAAAACGAGCCATCGAATTGTGGATGGGGAATAACTGACTGCTGGACCGCTGGTAAACGGTAATAATTCCTGCTGCTAAACCAACGGCTCCGGCCAGTCTCATACATCGTGTATAGTTAATAGCGCCAGATGCAGCAGGTTGAACACGTTCCATGATCCCGAAAAGCAGTGGGCTCACAACGGTGACGCCGGCTCCCATGATATAATCTGAGGGTCGAGCATATCCAAACACGCGGCGTACATGGCTAATAATCGCAAGAGTGTTAGAATTGGTGACCAGTGAATTATGCCACATAGGAATCGTAATCAAGAAAGCAAGGGACTAGGGAAGTCTCATACGGGTCTGAATCTATTAACTGTGAGGAGACTGTCAGTACACTATTCGGCCTGCGTTATACGGGACGAACATACGGGATAGTCAGTTTTGAGTTGTTTTGGAGGCACAATTGGCCTTGCATGGTCGGCTGCCATCTTGCGATTGATGTATTGGCAGGCAATTGATCTTCAAAAGCGCCGTCAACTGCGTGGTCTTCGAGCGATGGCACAAGTTGACGTTTGGCTTACCCAAGTCGGTTTTCACTGGAGAGTCATGTGATGTAAAGATGACCTAATACTAACGATTAGGTAAAGTAAATTACTAAAGAATTCCATCACGTGACTAACGCGCGGACTGACCGCCGTACGCGATCGCGATGTCGCGTTAGTCCTAATTGAATTTGATATTGGGACACTATTAATGACGGTCGAAACACTACCTGCCTGGGGAATATATATCGAGCTTCTTGGAAGGATGGATGTCAATGAAAATGTGGACGACCTTTTTGATTATGATGCTGGGCTGGATGATATTCTTCGCCAAGTAGAGCAAGACACAAACAAAACCACAGCTGCCAGCTCTAGTCAAGACCAGCCAAATCCGGGGAAAGGAGTTCTTGGTATTGATGATGAACTCCAAGTTTCGAGAAAGCGAGCACCGGTAGCTCAACTTGATGAAGCAAGGTAAACAGGCCCGCACATTTCTTGGAACAACCTTGATTAAAAATTGAGACCCGAGTTTAACCTTTAGTCAATGTTATCAGATTGTTATCACAAGATGGAATTCCGAGGCTGCGAAAAATGGCGAGAACATCATTGAAACTAAAGGGCAAAGGCCATGAGGTAAGGAAGCTATAGACATGTCTATATGCGTAGATTGCTAACCGTTCTGGTACAGTTTTCTGATGCTGGGCGATTGCTCAACTTTTACCGGCTGTGGCTGGATGAGTTATACCCTCGTGCCAAATTTACTGATACCCTGGCTACCATTGAGAAACTGGGCCATTCTAAACGACTCCAGGTGATGCGGAGAGAATGGATTGATGAAGGGAAACCTAGGCCTGAGGTTGATGATGACGATTTCCAATTGGGCAAGGAACAAGATCTCCCTACGCGAGAAAAGGGAAATCAGCAGGATGGAGCCCGCCTGAACCCAGAAGAGGAAGACCTTTTCATAGATTCTCCACATCCGGAGACAACCTTCTCCACGCAGGATGCTGTAAAGTCTTTATTCGGTGGGGATGGCAATGAACAGAGCAGCGTGTTGAACACTACATCTATAGATAACGAACTCTTCGAGTGGGAGTCGAATGACAAGGCGCTAGGCGATCCGCCGAAAGACAATATAGACCATTCCGGCACTAATAAGGTCCCAGCCGGCTTCCCTGATGACGAAGATGACCTTGATCGACCACTGGCCGAGGATGATAATGGGATCAATAGCAACAGCATTCGTAAGCCAAATGCAGAAGCGTCCGCATCCAACGCAGTTGCAGACGAATACGAGAATGACTGGGAGGCAATGCAAGAGCATGACATGTAATGATTATAGTAACGAACAAGAATTAATATAATGAATTCAACGATCCCCCCCTTTTTTGTAGAAAAACACCTTGAAATAAATACAGAGAAAGTAGCAGAGTATACCTAGCTCGTCACCTACACCTCAAGGTTAACCCTGGAGGGAGGAATGGAGGCAAGTAGCACGATGAACAAACAATAAACCATATGAAGCATCGCTCAACATTCAAGAAAAATTTCTATAAACATACCCAAAGGCCCCAGCTAAGTGCGGTGCCTGGGATATTGTTTAATAGAGTGTCACCAGAAACGAAGAACTCCCACAGACGGCAATAGTAAGACAGAAAGACAGACAAGAACCCTAAAGCACTAGAAAGATGCTTGGGATATGTATCTGATGGAGATGGGAACCAATGGCACGTTCACAAAAGGATGGACACAGTCAACAAACGTCAGTAGCCCACTCAACGTGAAAGAGGCCATATCAAATATCGGAACAACAAACAATCGATGTAGGAAACTAAAAACCCGGTAACACGCAGTAAATACCAGGACAGGAGAGATGAACCAAATTAAAAGGGCATTTTCCACGTAATAAATAGAGCAAAGGCCTCGGAAGAGTAAGGTTACACTGTTGGGGGGAAAAAAAATGGGAGAGGAGAGTGGGTGATTGGGCATGGAAGGCCCAATGGCCATTTGCTAAGAGACAACTTGGTTTTTAAAATTTCCGGGAGACACAGGAGAATAGCGAGCCATTATGTTGAGGAGTCAAGTTTTTGAGTGTTCCTTTTGGCAATTACTCTGCAATGGCAGTGAAGATAGAGTATTGTCCACCAGCGCCAGCAGTGTTTAATTTCTTTCCGCGCACAGCGGTGTTGTCAACAATGGTAGCAACTTCGATATCGTCGTCGGTTCCTTGTCCTGTCTGGTAGTTGGCGGAAAAACCCCAGGTCCACGCGCGACCTTCGTTGTCGATAGCAATCGAATGATCTGCACCGGCAGCAACATATTCTGCCTTGAAGCCAGGGACAGCAGTGGGTTCGAACAGGACGCGAGCACGGTTCCTATCATCTTTGATGACGGCAGAGTCAGGCAGGGTATCGACCTTGAGACCAGATTGGAAACCGTCGAGACGACCCCAAACAAGACAATCTCCATCAGTTGTGCGAGCGAGGGTATGGTGAGAACCGCCGCAAATTTGGACAATGCTCTTGTCCTTAAGGGAGTCGACAACGGTGGGGTGAAGGATAACAGCCTCATCATCTCCAGCACCTTGCTGAATTCCGGTTTCGCAGTAGCTGTTCAGGCCCCAACCGTAAACTTTTCCAGATTTATGAACTGCAAACGAGTGGAATGAGCCACAGCCAACGTGGGCGATGTTTTTTGGGAGGCCAAATTCGCGAGGCTGTAGTCCGTTGAGCTTGTTGCGTTCAACGATGCGGCGGCCAAGCTGATTCTGCTGACCGGATCCCCATGCAAAAACGGCGCCACGATTGTCGATAGCGAGGGCGTGGTTGTCGCCGCAAGCAACATGAGTAATCTTCTTAAGGCCTGAGATGAGCTTTGGGGTGGTCTGAATCTTCGTGTCAGCATCAAAGCCAATGATTCCTTCGTTTCCCTGGACCACCTTGTTAGCAATGTTATTCTTTTGGGAAGTAAGGAAATGCAAAAACACGTACTCTGAATGTACCCCAGCCGTAGACCAAGCCGTCGTCAGTGAGCGCAAAAGATGAGCTATCACCAGCTGCAACTTGAACAATGACAGTGCCTTCGGGGAACGCGTCGGATGGGATGGCTGTTGGGGTGGACTCGTAGGGGTTCAGCCCGCTGTCACTGCCGGAGTCGGAGCTGTCATCACTCTTTGCGTCGTCGATATCTTTCAGGCCACCCTCCCAGGTGGTGTCACGACCCAATGCGCCTTGGTCATTGACACCCCAGGTGAGAACTCTGCCGTCGTGGGTCAGCGCAACGCAGTGCATTCCACCCGCGGCGACTTGAACCACGCCGACATTCTCGGGCGCCAGCAGGGCATTGAGACGTGGACGTTTCACGTCAACAGTGCCCTTGGCAGCTCCGAGGCCGAGCTCTCCCTGGCTGCCTTCTCCACAAACAAAGACTCTTAGCTTCTGCGTAGGAGCCTTGTTTATCACCACTTTTGGCTTGGGTTTGCGGGTGATGGGGGCCTTTGCGACGCGAGCCTTCTTGGGTTTGGGCTCAGCAGCCGCCTTTTCTACCTCTTCATCGGCAGAGGTCTTCCGCTTGCGGGCTGGAGGAGCCGGAGCTCCTGCAACAGCACCAGCAGCGCGGGTATTCGACGCTGTCTTGCGCTTGGTGGTAGCTTTCGCGTTGGCGCCTACGGCAGCCTTTGCAGCATCGGTCTTGAGCTTTGTCTTCTTCGTCTCGGAGGCAGAAGCTGTAGTCTTCTTCTTCGCAGCAGATGCGGTAGATGCCTTCTTCACACCAGCCTTTTTGGCCATCGTAGTCGAGGCCTTTTCCTTCGTGGGTGCTTTTGCTGTAGGTGCTTTGGCACGCGTCGAAGCTCGTGCAGGCGCCATTGTAGGCAGGAAAACGGTTGTAAAACTGGTGTATCGGGAGAATCAAGCAGGAAGAGTACGGGTATAGCAGTTTCAAGATAAATTTATGAGTGACGGGTGCTACGTGCGCAGAATGTGATGGACGAGCAGAAGAAGTCTTCGATGGTGTTTGTTTTTTTTTTGTTTTTTGTTTTTTGGTTGTTCGAAGGTCGATGGTCGTGGATAGCCGGATTATGTAATCAACAACACAGTTCGCGGCAAGCAAGCCACAAAGAAAGCAGGACAAGGAGTGCAAACAATAGGGGGAACAATGGGAGAGATAATGGATATAGTGACAGAATCAGAAGCCGAGGACTTAATTGGTAGGATTAGTAGAGAGGCTGGTGTTGTTTACTGCAAGTTAATAGTAGTAAATATGTGAAGCACATATAACCTCTCGTACAATCCGATAGCTAGATTGGCTCATCAGTTAACTGGATATATGCCTGCACTACATATTGTTTTGATATATAGATATAAATAAAGTCATGAGAGTTTATAGAGGTTAGCCACTCGGCATATTGCTGTGCTCCTGGACTAGCGAAGCTGCGGCTGTTCCTGGCCAACGGCCGCCATCCAGGAGTAGGTTTGAAGAATCCATGGATCATAAACTTGAAAATACCCGTATTTTTGGGAGACGAAGTTGTGGAATTTTTGAGTTCCCTATATATAAATATTAGTAACTGTAATATGCGGCATACCCACGGTAGACCTAACTAGCCTAGAGTGGGTAAAACGGGAGTGACGGGTGGAATTTAGAGGCATACTTACATGATCGCCATAAGCTTAACGGGAGTAGTAGAATTGACCACCCTAACGAAGCAAGATATCATTGACGAATCCAGGTGGACTAATTTGAGAGGGATGAGTTGAGCTCCAGGCGACGGTATGTTTGCGGAGGTTGCTTGCGATACCTGACTCTTTGCTGCAAACCGGCACAGGGTCTCGGTGTAGGGTAAGTGGGCGCTTGCGTTATCCCTACAATTAGTACGACCTAACCTGATAGATTATAAGAGTGCCTAGCTGTTACATCGGATAAGAGAAAGGTCTACCCGAAGTGGGGACCCGAGTGACATGTAAAGCTGGAACTGCTTTAGTGACACTTCGCAGGACCGTCCACTGATCAATAAACCTGGATTCAGGACTCAGGATTCATCCGCACGAGCAGCAGCCTCTAAGCCGAGAAGAATTGGAGGTGGAGGTGGAGGAGGTGGTGCGGTCTTTATCTTCCCACACATGATGACATCCTTACCCAAAGGCTGCCATTTGATGTTGTGAGGTGTTAAGGCATTTATTGGGTTGCCTAGTTCATCCTGCTTAGAGTCCGGTGATGCAGACACACCGTTACGGCCAACGTAGGTTGGTGCAACGGTAACGATGACAGAGTCAACGAAGTCAACATATTCCGGATTAAGCAGTTCGCTGAGGACAACACCTCCGCCTTCGATCATGACGCTGCGGATACCCTGGTTTGCTAGTGCACCGAATATGGCCTCCCATCTCAGTCGCCAGTGTGGGTTGTATTCTCTGATCCTCAGGTAGTCACCGCCATGACGTTTCAATAGCATGAGCTTGTCCGGAAGGAGTTCTGCGCCAGGTGAGACGATGACCCAGGGAGCTTTACCTTTTCCTTCTGCTGCGGTCTTCAGCAGCCTACTCTCGGCTGATGCAGACCATCGCCCTGTGGGATCAATTATAACAGGCCGGGGTTGCCACATGGTCCCAAAGCCACCAAAGCCTCCAGCACCTTCTAGTCGACAGTTTAAGCCTGGATCATCGGCCAAAGCGGTCCCAAGTCCGATTATTATGGCATCATGACGGGATCTCAAGTAATGAGTCATTGCCTTGGTATCTGGACCAGAGAGTAAAGTTTGGACACCTGGCTTGGTGGAAATTTTACCATCCATGGACTGTGCGTAAGTAAGCGTGACATGCGGAAACTTGGTCTCTCCACTGTGGGAGTTGTCATTGCCATGGTTATGATCTTCCCCTATCTTTGGTAGATACGGCTCCAAGAAATCCAGAGGGAAAGTTGGGAACGGGAGGACATTGGCAGGTAGATTCATAGCTCTGGGATGGGCGATTATGGCGGGTGGACGGTTTATGTGCTGTCCATCCTGTACCTTATAGACGCCCAGTCCATTCTGGTAGGCATAGCCTTCATGCGGCCGGAGGGTGAGGCCTGGATGATTCGATCTCCACTTTCCGGACACATTTCGAACATCAATCGTGGTCAGATGTTTTCCGCCAGCAGCTTCGAGTTGTTGAGGGTCCTCTCTTAGTTTTGCAAATATGGATGCCGGAAGGTAGCCCTGGGCAGCCTCCTGGCGGACATATTCCATCACACCAGAGTTCTTCTTGACCTTGTCAATGTAGTCCAAATCATGTGAATGGGCACTGCTACTGTTAGGGCTCCGGGATATGGTTATTGTAGTATGGGCTCCTTCAAACTTGACTACTCGGATTTGAAAGTTGCAAGTTCCTCCCTCGCGAACGACCTTGTTCCTGGGCCGTTTGCCATCTGGTAGCGGACGCTGAGGTGGCCGCTTGCAAGTTGGTCGGCGCAGGCGGCACATGTAGTAATCAGTAATATGCAGGCCATCTTTGGTAGATGTGGACCGCTGCTTAACCCAAATATTATCTATAAATGGCCAGTACATATTGAATTCTTCGAGGCTAAGTTCGACTGGCTCCTTGACCTCGAAGAGCAGCTGTCTGACCCGGCCAAGATTTGGAGGGTTGACATAGGGTCGCCAGTTCTCTACGGGTGGCAGTTGGATCTGGGTTCCAGCAGGGCCGCCATTTGCAGACGGATGTGGTGTTGATGATGGCAGTGCCGATGATGGGGCCTCTCCAGTAGTCTGCGAGTGTTCTGGTCCAGTACCTGGAGGAGGCTGGTGCGCTTGGGAGTTATCCCCATCGATCTGCGCATGTATAGCAGCCTGGAGCCTGGAGTCGCCATCGTCCATCTCCTCATCTGCGACTAGTTCAGATTCATTTTCCATCTCCGTATCTTCATGAGACTGGTGCTGAGGTAGCTCTGTACCCTCTGGCTGCTCTGTGCTAGTATGGGGTTCCTCCATGTTTGCCGTCGCCGCCAGCAATCACTGCGCGACAACACCCGTAAATATACACTAACACAACCACAAACAGCCTCGAAGTTTCAGTATACTGTCAGCGACGACAACGTCGATGTATATTTGAATATCAGACGAAACCGGATCAAGGTGGAAGATGAAGATTGAACACGAAAAAAGAAGAAAAGAAGCTGAGAAGAAGGAAGAAACCCATTTATTGTGTGACGGCCAACAGGATTAGTAAGCTCAACACAGGCTTGGTTTAGCTGCATTATAATTACCTCTTCAGGCTAGCGCAAGATTAGTCAGATTAGCTGTTTATCCCAATTATCATTGGATGAAAAGGCCGGCTTTTATGCGAAGGATGGAGTTTCTATTGGTTTATATTTATTACTAACAGTCACCTGACTGGCACGGGATTATTTCATATCTATTACGTAATGGGATCATTCTCAACATTATTTAGCCGCGTAAGTGCGAGAGAGAATAGACAATGTTATCGGTGGTTTGATGTTGGTAGTTGTTTCATGTAGGATGAGATGAAACAGCCTATGTAGTAAGCGACGAGTCCAGTCTATCGCATCAATCCGTTGGACAAGTAGATGTACCATTATTCCGCGGATCTAGAGTGGCATTATGTTGGTGGGCAGTAACAGAAAAAGAGGTAAAAAAACAGGATATCAAGAGTTCGTCATTTACAAGGACAGTCCAACATCTCCACCAGCCTTAGCCAATGTCTCATAGACCCTAGGCGGGAGTTTGTATTTGATCATTCCAGAAAACACCATCAGATCCTTTGCCATGAGCACAAGCTCGTCAAGAAGGGTCTGCCGCATATCATTCTCGTAAACACCAGCGTACATCCTTTCTCGCTCGCGGCTGATACAGATTATACTCCATATCACTAGGTTGCCAGCATTGCGAGCAATGACGGGGGGTAGAGAGGAGAATGCCTGAACTGCGCTGCGGACGTAGGTGACTGAACCCTGGGCAGTGAGTGGTAGTATTTGTAGATTGTTGATATCCTGGAAATATATTAGTTCGGGAGCGATTGGAAGAGATATAGTGGTAAATAGCGAAAAACTTACATCCAAAGCAGGAGCCCACTGGCCTGCCTCCACTTTTGATTTGGCCTCCATCATGCGCAGGAGAAGACCACATGCCTCGCGATTGGTAGGGTGGATCTTCTGGTAGTAAAGGGCATTTGTGTTGTACAGGCTGATCATATTCTTAGCTAAGACAACGGGATCATCCACTGAGGTTAGGCTAAGGCTGCTTCCTGGTTCAAGGGACGCTGCCGTTGAGGTTTGGCCTCCTGTTCGTGGCTTAACGGGCTCAATCTTGATGGCTGTCTCACCAAGTGGGACAGAAACGGCATCAGAGAGGATCCGATTGAGAATCGAGACAACATTGTCATATTCCTCTGCGAGATGGTAAAGCAGAACGGCGTCTGCAGTAAGTCCCTTGTCATCGGCTACAGCGGCCGCCTGAACAGTGACAGCCTTGAGGAACTCTTCTTGGTCATCGAGGTTGATTAGTTTCAATCGCTGTTCGATCACACCCTTGATTCGAGTCCCATCGGACCTGATATCACCCAACAATTTGGCGAAGTCTCGTGTTTCAAGAATAAACTCGCGTAGAGCTTCGTGGCATACGGCAGCCTGAGATTTTCCCAGTTCTCCAGGAAGATCTGTGTTCAAGCAGATGAGGGTGAAATAGTCCACTGCGGCATCAACGTTCCCTAGTCGGAATTCCCCAGTGTATTGCATGACTAGGGCTGCGAAGTTAATCTGCGGAAGTTGGCGTGTGGTGAATGACACTGTTGAAATAAGTTAGTAAAAGGTATAAACCCAAGTATTTGTGGATAAAAGATGGAAAACTTACAAAGCTCATCCCCAGAGGTATAGAAGTCCGACACGCGTAGTAGACCATAATAGTCAAGAGCAATGGCAAAGTGGACTGCGTCTATGGGTGCATATGAACCAAGATATGCAACAGCCTGTTCAAACATCCCACCGAGAATCTGGAGCAAGAAGAAAATACCATAGGCACCAGGGGTTTCCTGGCCCTTGGGAAATACCCTCTGGCCGATTTCAGCAATGTCCTTCTTGATATCTTCTAAACCGAAAATATCACCAGCTACCTCCTCGGCCCGGGTGTCTTCCCGCGCCAGAGCGAACTGCAGCCACATCCAATCCTCTACTCCCTGACCCAAGCCCTCAAGCCGGCGTTGGTTTAGGTCGCATCTACCGATGATCTTGTAACAAGCCATCCGATACGGGTCAATGGTGTTCTCCGGCGCATTCCGTAGGCGTTGCTGGTACTCTGCGCCAATCTTCTGTTGTAGGTCACGGGGCAGTCGCCTGTGCTGAGCGTACGTGGTCATGTAGGTGACAAATTTATAGTCCATTGAGCGGAAACCCTGGTCGCGGCTTACATACTCAGCAGCCTCGTCAATGAACCCACATCGGAGGAGATAAAAGATGAGAATCCAGCAATAATCGTCATTCACCATCTGCAGCTCTGTTCCGTCAGGGGCAAGATCCTTCCGTGCTGCACGCAGTCGGATATAAGCTCGAATCTTATTAATAATGGTAGGGACACCACCCAGCTGGGCCTCCCGGGGGTTTTTAGCGATTGCTTCTTCAACTTCTCTGTAGAACGAACGTTCAAGATGTTTTCTTGACCCGCTAATGATTTGTTTTCTCATCTTTAGAGCCTCGATAGAATTGGGGCCATCTTCTCTGTAGTCCTTGGCGAATTGACGCGGCCGTAGAGCACCAGGCTCAAAATAGCCTACTGAGCTAGCAGGCTCATTGGTGATACTGATTAGGGCATGGTAGGCTTCAATGAGCTGTTTTGGGGTCTATAAATTTTAAGTCAGCTCACAGTACTGTTAGACAAATCCGCGTGGGTAAATTACTCACATCGCTATCTGCAACCTTTTGAGCTTCAGCAAACTCATGCAGGACCGGAAACGTCCTCTCCTGGAGTCTCATTTCGTTTAACTTTTGGACCTTCAAGCCAAAATGTCCTATCTTCTCCCGCATAGATCTAGAATCGCCACCTTGCTGTGGTGAGGCAATAGATCTCGTGGTAGAGTCGGCAAAGATCGATCCGGCGCCGCCCACGCTGGCAGAGCCTATGATTGACTTGGATAGACCGGATCGGCCAAAGACACTTCTGCGGCTGGTAGATTGGAAGCCTACCTGCTCATCTCTGTCTGCCTTTCCGACCTGGTCACGTCTGGAGAAACCGAAGCTGCCAGATCCAGTGTCGTCTTTTGATACTAGGCCAAAATGCTCATAGATCTTCTGGCGCTGTTCGTCCCAGTTGAGACTAACTTTGTCCTCGAGGAAAGCGTCAAAGTCCTTACGAGCTCTGGCCAGGCTCTCGGCAATCATAGCCTCTCTACCGCGCTGTTGCACCCGCCGCAAGAACTTTTGGTTATCGGGGTCAAAGGGTTCTTGTTCGAAAGATACCGACGGAGCTGGCACCGGTGCAGCTGGAACTGCCGGGATACCTGTCTGTGTATTGAAGGTGTGGAGGTCTTGCAGCACTTTTCCCGGCGAGATACCAGATGCGGTGAGAGATGAAAGCCTGTTAGATGCAAATTAGGAGGATATCATCAAGACGAACTGTGTAGTTATGGTCACCACTTACATTTTATGTTCAGTGATGGCAGGCATATGAGACGCTCTGCGAGGACTGGTCGATCCTAGACCGCGGGCAGATTTTCTAATGTCATCCAAACCAAGCTGGAGACTGGGCAACTCAACGGAGGAGACATTCTGGAAGCTCGAGAGGGGTCGCTTCTTGCCCTTTTCTAACAGGCTGCTGAAGTATGCGGGTTGAGTGGGTGGTTGCGCGGCGGTGGGAGGTTGTTGAGACGGGAGCTCAGTTGTTGCCGGGGTCTGACCAGCTTGGGCAGCGGTGGTAGATTGGCCGAAGATGCTCGAGCCAGAAGGAGGTTGTAGGCCGCTTGTGGTATCTATCATACTTGTCAGCAACAGCACACACACATACCACACCTGGGGAAGACTAGATATATTTTACTTGAGCTGGGCGCAAAGAGCGAAGGGCGCTGAGCTGGAGCTTGAGCTGTACCTTGGGCCGGCTGTTCAGCAGCCCCCTGGCCGAACAGCGAGCCTGTAGAGGCCGGCGACTGGCTAAGACCAAGCCCCTGGAACATAGCTGTAGGCTCTTTTGCTCGCTGGAGAGGGAGACAAGGTCCGCGTCGGTCAATTTCTCTGCTTGCTTGCTCGATGTTTTGCTTCCTCCTCCTCGTCGTTTTCTTGTTGATGTTTATTTTCCCTCTTCTCTTTGGAATTGCAAGATGACTAATCAGGTACGATCACGTGAATTTAAAGTTCATAATAACTGACTAAGCAAGAGCCAGTTTTGGCCATTCGTCGGGATTAGTCATCCGCTTGTTGCTAGAACTCGCAGACTTGGCTCATGTTTTTTTGTCCCATGGTCCTGTGGTCCATGTTCCAACAACCATTGGATTTGACAAAAACAGCCGTTGCAGGGTCATTGACTATTATTGCAGAGAGAGGCTCGGTAGAATCGTGGAATTGCATGGTCGGTTGATCACAATAACCGAGCAAGAACCGGCCACCATACCGTGAAGTATTATCGCTTCACTTTTGCACTCTTTGGCACGCTCAACATCTCCTCAGTGGTCCTCAGATGCATGTGGCTTTGATTATGCAGGTGCCAATGCCACTCTGTTAGTCAGCTCAAATGGCGGCCAACTTGCTGTACAACTGGCAAGACTGGCAGGTATAGATTGTTGTTTAGGAGGAGATGATGCAAATCTCAAGGGCTTCGGAGCAACTATGTACTTGACCCCATGGATCCTACGATACCATACTCAATGAGATCATACGAGTGGTGGGTGATGAGCTAGTCTACGCATTTGATGCGGTAAACCCTCCTGAAGGCCAGAGTCTACCTCTAAACGCTTTAGCAGGCTATAAAACGGGGACACTTGCTCGGCTTTTACCGGACAGCCCTGTCGACGAGACCAAGGTTATGAAGAAAGCAGCTGGGTTTATCGTATGAGACGTGTTTGGTGTTTGGCAAGCCAACCGAACTTTCGCCCAAGAATTCTGGGAGAGGCTTCCGACATACCTCGAGGCCGGCAAGATTAAACCCTTGAAATATACTGTCAGGCAAGGCCTTGATGCATATTATGCAAATGAAGTGTTAGACAGTTACCGCGACGGAAAGCCGGTAGTCAAGACACTCATCGCCTTGTGAAGGCCCGCAGACATAAAGATATAAAGATGATCATGGGGGGTTACAAGCTATCATGATGCAAGTTCATACATGATACAAGCATCTCCCTATGTACGCACGTATGGCTTTTCTCGACCATTACCTATTTTGGTGGGAACCCAGCGTCAACCCCGCTCTATTTCACCAAGATTACTGTGCATGATACATGATATTATCCTAGTATCATAGTGGAACTCTGCATCAATTTAATCAAGAACAATTTCTAATTTAATTAACCCCCTAACGAAAACACCATACAAATGGGCTATTCTGTTCGAGAGGGAATAATTCTCTTCGCGACCGATAGACTCATGTTAGGACATGGACTTAACCCGTATTGCAACTCTCCACGGAAGTAAGAGGAATGGTTTCCGCCCCTATACCATTCCAAGAAGGCCCTCGGTAGTGAAGTGTTTGCTTATAAGCGCGACCAAACCGCCAAACAAGCACATGAACCCACTGAACATTGATACTTCAAAGAAACTCCCATATCTATCAACGAAGGCTCCATTGACTGGTGGGCCGATTAAGCCACCGAGGGAGCTGATAGACATTCCCATCCCCATGTACGTTCCAATATCTCGAGGGTCTTTGGGGCATAGAGAAAACGCCGCAGAGGCCCCAGAGATGATTGTACCAGACACAAACCCAAAGACAACCGCATATACAATTAATGCAGCGTCGGTTGCGGCCGAGTTCATACAAAAAATCACAATACCTGTTATAACTCCTCCAAGGGAAAAAATATTCAAGCGTCCATACTTATCTGCTAGCACACCAGGAATAACACGGCCAAAAGTAGAGGATGCGTTAGTGATGGCAAGCAGATAACCAGCAAGCGTTGGATCCATGCCCCTCGACACTGCATACGTTGGAAGGAAGAAGAGAGGGGTGAACATGCCAACAAACATGAAAAATAGGGATACAATCAAGATGATAAATTTCACCTCTTTGTATGCCGCAGGTATCCAGAAAGCGGTCGATCGAGAAGGGAGCCGCGCCTTGACGGTAAGGCATGCAAAGAGCATGAATGGTAAAATGAGAAACCCTATAGTTCTTACTGACCATCCGAACCCCACGGTAGAGCTGTTCAGCATCTTTGACAAAGCAATAGGGATAACAATACCGCCGATCGAGGAGTCAGACACCACAATGCCCAGGGCAGCCGCGCGTTTCTTGTCAAAATACTGGGAGACAGCTGCAAAGGCCGGAAACTGCAGGAAGCCCATAATACTACCCATAAGAACGCCCTGCACAAGCATGATTTGCCAGTAACTGTTGCATAGGCTAAGTATCATTACTGCAAAGACATATACAACTGAGGCAGGTATTATAATCTATTATGAAGTCAGTCATGGTACAACTTGTTAAGACAATCCTTCAAATGGATGACATACCCAGGCGCCCAGGAGATCAAAGGACGGCCCGCCCATTATTCCCGTTGCGAACAAGAGAAAGGCTGATAGTGAACCAATCCATGCCACTTTATCAGGAGATTCTCCCCTGAGTTGATGGGAGAGATAGTATTCAGTAAATACACCGAAGGAGTTCGAGAAGCCCAGGCAACAGAAGAATATCGCAGAACCTCCAGCTGCAACGAGCCATGCTCTAACTCCACCGTCTGGCGCTTCCCCGAAACTTGGAGTTGTGGGAGACATCTCTTCCACTTTACCCTCATTCTGACGGGGTGTCCCTGGCGTGGTCACAGTATTCTTCATGATTGACAAGTATATGGATAGATGTATGTTAGCAATGCAAGCAAAATGGATATGCCGGTGTCCAAACTGTAGACACGCATATAAACGAACAGGAGGCCCTCCATAATGCTATACATGCTGTCTTTTATATCTGTCGTCCAGTTCAGCGCAGTGGCAGTGGCTCTTTTGTTCGGCTCCTTGTGATGCATTTGCTGTTGAGTCTTGACGTCCGGGTTGGCGGTCGGCAGCCAGACTCGGCCGGGGCTGAGGTCGGACTCGGGTTCGGAGCCGCCCGCCAACCTTAACTAACCGAGCGACGGGAAATGGGAGACGATACGGACCAAAAACAAAGTCACGTGATATTTAAAGTTCAACGTTTTAGGTAAGCGTACAGAATTTAAACTCCAGGATCTTACTACCAGCCGTTCTTTGACAACGACCACTAACCAACCTCTGGCTCTGGCTCGTGGTCAAACTGATAGCTGCATCATTTGCCGATACCAACAAAGCAGACGCCCGTTATGATGACTATTATTACTCTAAGCACTCCTGCTACTTTATATTTGGTATCATTAACCGCCAGCTATCCATCTTGTTGGCGCTAAAGACTTGGAAGTTGCATCGTGATGCTGGAGGCAGAGCGTCGGCAGCGAAGGCCTGCCGTGTAAGCTATCTCCACCACTTCCTCATTACCTCGCTATCGAGGCTGATGGTAAAGGTCGTATAGGGCCTGCTCCCTTTGCCGAAGAAGGAAGATTCGGTGCAACCGAGGGCAGCCTTGTAGCAACTGTGTACGGTCTCGGGCCAAGTCTTGTCTTTATGAGCATAAGTCGGTGCCTTTACCACCACAATTTGATACCAGTAATAAGCCGACAGCGCTTATCTCAGTTGAAGGGTCAAATCTAAAAGGCGCAGATTGTATATCCAGTGAAAGGCCTGCTTCTCAGAGCTATCCACCTTCGCTGACGGAAGGGTCTACAAATGGATCTGCCGCGGTAAGCCAGCAGTCCAATGACACAGTTTCTATGGATAGCACCAGGGCTAGCTCTCGAGTAAATCAACCACACAATCTCAACCTAAATAACTACAACACTTCGTCGCCTAGAATAAAAGAGACATCATCGCAGCTCGGCGGTACATTTCAGATCCACCGTAGGGCTGGTTTGCCGGGTGGACCTCTTGCTATATCCGGTACTACCACACACAAAGGGCGTTCGTTTGGTCAAAGTCATTGGGTGAATCTGATTTCTCTGGTAAGCCCTGTGCTACATGGAAAATTTTTCGAGCATCAGGTAATGACAGCTATTTAGTTTGATGACATTTGTGGGACAGTCGAGCGGCATTTACAACACAACCAACCTATTGCTCTTTCCAATGTTGAAAAGTGTAAGGCGTTGGCTAGAACTATCAAGTCGCGGCGAGTACCCTCGGGCCCTATCAATCTCACTCTGGATCTCCCTTCCAAAAAGGTGTCTGACGAGCTTGTGGACTGTTACCTCCAGACTATAGAGTCTGTGTATCGAATTCTGCACATCCCAACCTTTAGAAGGGTCTATGAGACACTGTTCCTGTCTGCAGTAGACCCTGCAGTCAACGACGCTTTCGTAGTTCAGGTTAAATTAGTACTCGCTATCGGTGCGGTCACCTACGACAAGGACTTCTCTTTACGAACTCTGGCAAATAAATGGATATATGAAGCCCAGGCCTGGCTTTTGGACCCTAAATTCAAATCAAGATTTAACATTCAATCATTACAGTCACATCTGTTACTTCTGTTTGCCCAAGAAATGGTAGGCATCGACGGAGATCCGATGTGGGTGTCAGTCGGTACCTTGTTAAGAAGAGCAATCTATATGGGGTTGCATAAAGACCCCGATGGAGTACCTGGAAATACCTTGTTTGTGATAGAAATGCGTCGCAGAGTCTGGAATACGATTCTTGAAGTTTGCCTTCAGCCGAGCTTAACTTCCGGGGGACCTCCATTATTCTCTATTGATGATTTTGACACAAAATCTCCGAGAAATTTCGATGATGAACAAATCGAGGATTCTACCGCTATACAAAAGAATGAATTTACCCAAACGTCGATCTCCATGGCTCTCCGTGACACTTTGCCCCAGCGCTTAGCGGTGATAACTTTTTTGAACAGTCACGGTTCTTTAGGCACCTACGAAACAACTCTTCAACTTGACAAGGAACTCAGATCTGCTTACAAGTCTTTATGCCACACTATACAAGGCTATGTTCGCAAATCTTGCCCCTCGCCTCTGTTTGAGTTTCGCGCAGTTGATTTAATTATGCAACAGTATCTTTCCTGCCTGCATATGCCTTTTTTCGGTATATCTTTGCAAGAATCAGCTTATACATTCACGAGAAAGGCCATTATTGAGGCCTCTTCTAAAATATGGCATAGCATCTATCAGACTTCCTCCTTTCCCCCTCGCCAGTCGAATGAATGCCCTGCTTCGTCGCCTCATGATAGGTTAACTCTCCTAGCCACCTGCGGCTCGGGATTTTATCGAACTGCTTTACTTCAGGCTACCCTGCTTATCGCAGCAGAGCTTAGAGCACAGATTCAAGACAGTGAAAGCCTAGGCCCAATACCCTTAAGTCAAGATCTGTTTACAGTGCTGAAAAACGCGAAGGCCTGGTCTATACAATGTATAGAAGCCGGCGAAACCAACATTAAGGGACACCTGCTCATATGCGTAATTGATGCACACATTCAAGCACTCCTGAAATATCCAGTGGAGGATTGCACTCCCGCATCTTTAATAGGCGCGCTTGACGATGCATCTGCAGCATCATTATCCATACTTAGCCGCGTGGCTACAATGGACAATGTTGAGAATTCTACTGGCGCGCTTCACGAAATGCCTCTTGATAATATGGGTGAAGGAGCAGAAGATTGGCGGTTCATGGTAGGTGGTGAACTTCCCAATGCATCTCCCATCTTTAGACCCCACCTCACTCATTCCATTAGATGGCCGATTCAATGTTCAACCTAGACGGTAGTTTTGGTATGTATTATTGATTCGCCGTTTAGTACCGCCCACGCAATACAGTAACTATTTCATATTTCGGTTTCTCCAGTTGGTGTACCCTAAGTTTCTGCCGCGACTTCAGCTGGAAGGAAATGATACCTAATTATGTGTGGCGTATGCAATCTTCGCTATATGAACGGTGTATTCCTCCCTTGACTTATCGCCATTCTACAAGCATTATGTCTCCCTCAATTGCTTGCACGTACCCTAAGCTGTCACGTTATAGCTGCGCCCTCATTACCAAATTTTCTGATTCAGCCTCAGCCTTCGCTCTCTTGGACCCATTCATATATATTCCATTTGGGTGGCCCAGTGTGTCTATTTCAAACCCAGCGTGCAATACATCACCAGCAGATTTCCACGTTGTTCTGAAGGGCCCATTAGGTTTAACGTTGTGATGACTGCAACGATTTTGAGGACGATTTGGGCCAAAAATATCCCCCAAGCCCAGTCATTTCGGCGGCTAATTTCAGTTGGCATAGCGGCGGAGTCAACAGCTAGAACAGATATTCCAGACGGTTTAGGGTCTTTTTCTAGGCGCCTAGATAACTCTCGACCATGATCCATTATCAGAACTTGCCCGTCGTGTGTTTGGTGCTATTTCAAACACTTACATCATAACACGGCAGAGTTTTGCAGCACCATGTCGTCTAATACCCGCTAGTTAGCCGATCGGCGGGGTGATCCCTTTGTGAACACCACCGTCCTTGGCAATGTCACTGGTATCTGCCGCCTCATTAAAGATTCGTTGGTACTTCCTCGATTGGTAGGCGTTGGCAATGTTGCCTAGTCTGTTGCTTGCATGTTGGGTGCTATTCATGGGTTCGTTACTAGTTGACTAGTTAACTGTTCAGTTGGTGGAGCTTTTATTACTCGTGAGTCCAGCTTCCTATTACGATAACCCGGCCACACCTTTTATCAAAACTCTGAAGTAAAAGGAGCGTTAGCAAAAAATGCGATAAATAATTCACTTGAAATGACATATCAAAGCCGTCTTCAGTCCAGGTCTGTGTCGCTTGTTCATGCCATCCAACATTCAATATTAATGCCCTGATTGGTGGAACAATGCCATTTGATACCTGCTATTGATACGCGCAGCGGCCTTGCGTACACTTGCAAGGCTGGATGGATCAATAGCTTCAATGTTGTAAGAATGGTATCGATTCTCGGCATCTTCAAGCACCGTATTGACATTCGTGGCTCGCTCCAGACTCATCACAGCGTATAAACATTTGTTCAGACTCGCTCCAACAGCCTTGACCCCGATGAATTATTTCGACCACGATCCTTGCCCTTCCCAGAGGCCGTTCCGCCGTACGCAGCTTCTCGCTTATTGGAATCCGATGATAGGAATTGAGTGAGCAAATACCCGTGAGCAGCATGAATTTCAACCCCTGCAAAGCCTGCCTCAGCGGCTAAAGAAGTGGCATCTGCGAACTTTCGTACTACATCCTGGATATCTGTTGTTGTTATAGTCTTGGGTGTACGGAAGAAAATATGTTGACCGCACGAGCTGCGAGTCCATCCCCCAATTTAAGTGGTATCGCACTGGGGGCTACTACCTTTCGTGAA